CCAACCTCACACAAACAGGAACACCTGCATCTTGTGCTGTGATGGAGGATTCTTGTCCAAAGTTTGCGCCTCGAATATGTCAAATACAATGTCCAGTGTAGTGTCCAGTGTTTTTGTGCGTCTGTCACTGCTATTTTGCAGTTGACTGAACTCCTGTTTGGCGATTGCTCATCCATTTGCTGTGCAGCATCGTGCCTTCGATGGCAGGCTTCTGCCCGGCATCGGCCCAGCTTTGTTGCCTCATGGCGTATTTCAGTGGGATCATACCGGGATCAACCATACGGGTGTAGCTTGAACAGATGGTGATGAGCTTCAGCTTTTCGCCTACACCAGTCTGGTGAGGGTCATTTTTGGGACGCCCAATTTCCAACTTCTTTGCATGGATGCTCTAGCCATTGCGGAGGTGTTGAAAGACAAGGATCCATGAAGCTTCAGGGGAAAGGAAGGATTCCATGTTCTTGTTTCTAATCTGGAAGAGTTCTATGGGTTCCTCGTGGAGGCACTCTCATGGTCAGCTCAGAGAAGCCAGTTCTACACTAAGCTGAATATAGGAGAACCAGGTGGAGGTTACAAGGATTCTTACCTTGGCTGAGGATGCTACACCTTTCTTCAATACTTTCAATACTGGCCAGAGACGGTTTGCTTGAGTTTTGCTCAGACGATTCTTTCTTCAACCAAGATGACATGCGGTGAGTGTAAATGGCCGGACAGAAGCTAGTGCCAGGTAGGGATATCATTCCAGCCATTCGCAGGACCAATTTCTTTTCGTCCGCAGGGTCCCTTGTTTCGGTGTCCGCAGCGCGGTCTTGGAGAAAAAGCTCCCAGTAGCGATGCCCTTTGCTCCGTTCGTAGCGTCCTTTGCCGGTGGCTGCGACTCAGGGAGAGCCCATTGGGACCTTTCGGGGATCTCTTTGCACCTCCTTTGACTGCAGAGGAGGAGTGGCTTGGCATTCGAAAGCCGACTTCGCTCGGTCAATGTCATCGGTGATTCTCATTAAGCAATGATGGCTTGAGCCGAGAATTCTTAAATGCTCCATGAAGGCCAGTATTACCGAGGCATTACACATGTCACGATGCATAACCAATGGCACCCGCGTGTAGGCCACATTGACCTACATAGAGCAAGTGGGTTGGGAAGTTTTTGCCCAAAATCGAGGGACTCGAGGATATTGGGGCTGGCTCATTTACTAGAGTCTTCAGAGGATTTATTTCCACCGTTTTTAGCATCTTGTTGGCCTTTGCGGACAGGGGCCAGGGGAGTGTCGATATTGACATGAGTCAGAATATCTAGAATCTAGATGCGTTCAGGCTTTCTGTTGCTCAGAGTTTCTTCGGTTTCTGCTTGAGAGGACCGCAGACCAGGGGGGAACATAGGGGGGTTGTTGGGTTCGTGCACCGAATGCCAAGGAAGGTGGTCTCAAACACGACCAAGGTCATTGCAGCTTGTCAAGCACTATGCATTGTGCAAACTGACACAGGAAGTGATTTTCGGATTGTTGATGAGCCATGGGATCCCAAGACGAAAGAAATACACAGAAATCAATGTGCGGAAGACGGAAGATGGCTGGATTTATAGTAAAACAGGTGCTCGTTAAAAATCATCTCGAGCTGCTCCGATCTGACAAACACCACTTTGAGACAAGCGAGGTTTCAAGAGCTCTTCATGCAGGACATTGTGTGCAGGTCCAATCAGCTCAATCTACTAAGACATACTATATAAGTTTCCAAGGCCTTTCTTCTGGGAGATCGTGAGATGGCCCAAGATGGAGGCTGGCTTGGAGGACAGGCTTAACATGACTGAACCACCTCGTGGTTCCAGGTGAACCGCTTGCGCCAGGGTGGTTGATGTGTAGAACTTGACCTGCCGGGAGGTGTTTTCTGGGACCGTACGAGTCATTTTGTGGCAATGTTGACTATGATTTCGGAGGCCTTCAAGCCAGCGAAACGCGATCGTTTGACTTCAGTAAGACTTACTCTTGGTGAGGAACAGAACACGCTCCCAAATTTCTTTGGTCAAGAGTCTAAGAGTTCGGTCATGTCTAACGGAACATGCTTGTGTTCAGAACTCATGGCATGTTTGGGATGCAAAGACCTGGACAACAGGGATGTTGTTCCTGGACAACACCAGGCCTCGTGTCAGCCCAAAGCCTCACTTCGGTCCTGCAGCTCTTCCGCCTCTTGGTGTTGACCCAGTTTACTGGTCCGAGAGTGGGACCAGGACGGGTGGGATGTTTTGGAAAGACCTTTGGGGAGGTCAATTTGATGCAGAAAGAGTGCTTGGTTGCTTTCATATGGATGGCAAACCCACCAGATTTCCATTGGGACTGGCCGTCAGGGCTGTTTGAGACTACAGCTGGGGGATGCTGGATGTGCATGTTGCATTTCAGAAGGGGTTGAGACATGTTGAGACATTGAGTTCTCAACTTATCATTACACCAGGGTTGAATATTACAAGAACAGAAGTAACTTGAAGCAACAGAAGTCTGAATGAGTGAATCCATCCGCTGGCTCCATCCGCTGGTGTTGGTCGAATCCGTTCGAACTCCGAGGCGAAGACCCACGGCTGGCGGAGGGCGCCCGGGAGTTGGCGCAGAAGTTGGCGCGGCGCGCCTTCGAGCTGGCCGGCCGGCTTGGAGACGGGTTGGACATGGGTGTAACAAGCACGGTATTGGGTACATCAAAGGCCATCGCAAGTAGCTTGGAGGCCATCGCTATGAACGGAAACAAGAAGCTACTAGTAACAAAAGGAACTGGGTGGGTTGGGAGGCTGAGAGCAGACCGGACCCTGGAGTGGGGTGAATTCCTAATTCGGGCTTTGGGATTCGACTGGATTGATTGGATGGAGATGCAGATGTTGTTGAAAACGTGCTTGTCTATATGATCTATATGTATATTTGTTTCCTTATATTGTATGTCTTTCGACCTCCTAAGAGATATCTAAGATAACTATGTCGATGATTGTCGATTGATGTTTCTGTCGCTCCATCAGCTCTGCGACCGAGGTGAGCGCCCGGGCCTTGCGACGTCTGGCAGATCGCATCCCCAGTGCGAAGCTGAGACGGTGTGGAGGACAGTGATGGAAGTAGATGGAACATTCACTTGGTTTGTTCAATGAACCGATCCACAAGGTATTACTGTATATATCATGAGCTAAAGGCAACTAGCATGAATTCACATATAGTTAAGTTCAATGCACGGACTCATACTAGTAGGTCTTGTGGTCTAGGACTTGTTTCATTTTGGCATGTTTTGCATGGTGCTGTTGTCAACTTCCAGCTGAAAGCACATTGGGTGTTGGTGCTTTGTTTGGCTGGATAAGTAACGACAGAGAAGGACGTCCAAGGCAACTTGGAGCAATTCATTGGTATACAGTACGGTATACAGATTTATTTGTCATGACCCACATGCTGGTCTTTTGCCACTCGCAAAGTTGACAAATGCTTTCAGTCCATTCTGCATCGGAGATCATGTGAGGCAGGATGTGAATTTTAAGGATATTCCGGTTGACGGCCTGAGCTTCCAAAATCATGGCCCGCCCTTGCCGTTTGAGGTGATCGGCCAAAGCTTGCTGCTGCATGAGAGGATCTGAGGCCCCACCGCAATCGGTTTCACATTTTCCGGTTTTCGCTGCTGCTGATCCAGGGATCTGAAGATGCTTTGAGACGTCACCAGAGGATTGACACTATGGCACTTTGGCTTTTCTAGAAGCTGGCTCATGACTGGGTCAGCAGCGAAGTTCCTCCCGCGCAGGGACAGACTTTTAAAGCGGCAAATCGTGTCTGAACGACGGAGGGTGACTTGAACTGAAGTGGCCAATCCCGCCCGGTGGACTCGTGACTTGCACAATGCCTTGGAACCCGTCCTGACTCCTGACTTCGATGGGGCTACCTACATCGCCTGCTAATTCCTCATTTGGCACTGCCTTACCCCATTCGGGGAGAGAGCTTTGTCCATTTGCATCATTGGCTTGGGAGACCTTGGATATTGGTGCGAAAACCTCATTTGCCAATTCCGTGTGTGCCCAAACTACACTCAGATGCCTTTCCAAATGGGACCAACAGTTCCAAGACTGCACGCTTGCACGCTCTTATAGATAGTTGTAAGACCATAGCACGCCCAAGTCTTTCCAGGATTTGCATACTTTCCCTAGGCCTCCAGAGGCCTTGATTTTCGCAATGGTGCGGGATGCAGTTTTCAATTCTATGCCATATTTGTAGGGCCGATCCATCTCACAAAGCTGTCACCACAGCTGCACACCCCAAATTGTTATCAATCTTGGACTGGCACTGCCCCAGGCTGAGGCTTCCAGCAACGAGAGGGATCCTCCTGGACAGGTTATAGCATAATTGAAAGACTATGACAGATTTTGTCTTTGTAATTTAAGCAGTCCTGATACATTGCATTTCTTCAGAGATGTGTCCAATGCCAGCCCAGTCACTGGTAGCTTCACCTTGGCCATGGGCTAGTGCCGAGCAGTGGTCTCTTCGTTTTCTATGTCTTTTTTTGAATCACAAATATGGCTTGCGTGAACCCCTCAATTGGACAATGTGATTGATCCTTAGAGGCTTCATGGCTGGGTTTAAAAGAACTCATCCCGCTGCCATTGCCTGTGGATTCGTCGCTTCCCGTCGAGTTCAGAAAGTGGAGTGGCTTGGGTGGATTCGTGGGACGGATCCATCAAGAGCGAAGGCCTCCAACCTAGTAGCTTCTTGCTACTAGTAGCGGTGGCCTCCAACCTAATAGCAAAAGGAACCTAATAGGAATGGCCTCTAACCTAGTAGCGATGGCCTGCAACCTGAGCAGATTGAAGGATCCATGAAGAGAGCTCACAACCAATCACTTCAAGCATCTTCAAGTACTCTCCAGAGCATGACTTTAAACATTGTTAAACAGCTTTAAATTATATATATAGTTGTTGTACTGACATGTACTGACTATCCTAGTGGCTACAATTTAGTTTATTATCCTTCTCTCCATCCAAACCATCGCCACGGTTCCAGGTACTCAACTGGAACCAATCCTGTGCTGAGCCTCTGGGCTGTCTTCGGAGCGGTCGGGTAGGGAAGGGAATGGTGAGTAGATGAGCCAGTGGTTCAGTTGGTCAGTTCGCAGGTTTGGCTGGATCACATTCGTTCCTTTTTGGTTGTCCGTTGCCATAGAGATATGTAGAATCACATTTGTTCGAAGGAGAGGGATCAGAAAGCGGACAGGTCCGCATCCATGTTCATCTAATAGTCATGCATGGCATTCATGGGTTCGGTTTGGGCCTCGATTGAGTGTGAGGGACTGTTTGCAGACAGTCCAGGTTCAACCCCCGGCTTTGACTCCTCTCCGTGCCTTTTCTTCCTTGTTTTCCTGTACAACCCGAGGCCCTCAGGTGCCGGTGTCCTGGGAATTGTATGAATTCGGCAAAACTGCAGCTGACCCATGATCAGATCAGTTGTGTTCTTCACGTCCAGAGTCTTTCAGTCCCCTTCCCTTCACTCACACCGGTTGGTGTGATTGCTACCATTTCCCCATTGCCCATCACTTCGTCATGCAGAGCGGTTGTGTTTCTTGCTTATTCTTGCTTCGCTTCTTCATCTTGCAACTTCTTCTTTTCTTTTTCCTTCCGCATCCTTTTCTTCATCTATATAGCTGCTTCTTTTTTCCCGGGCTTCTTCTTCTTTCTGGATCTTTTCCCTGCTTCCTTTTCTTGTTTTTGCTTCCTTTCTCCATGCTTCTTCTTCTTGCTTCTTCTTCATCTCGCTGAAACCCGTAGAGTGTGCCTTTGAGCGTAGCTCGATCCTGTGGGACAGGAAACGTCTAGGAAGCAACGCTCAGAAGATCTAGAAGGATGCACAAATTGCTTCAGGGCCCCTGTTAAGGTATCAAAGCATGCACAGATGATCCGGTGCTGACCCCGTTCACTTTCCATTCGTCGTGACACCAAGCAACCCGAGGAGCTCATGTTGCGGTTCTTGGTGGGTTTTCGAGTAGTAAATGGTCGCTGAGAATTCCAACCGTTTGTGCGCTTTGCCATCATTCAAGACCTGATTGGGTGGTCATGCTCCATTCCTTTGATCCCATACGATCGTCGGAAGAACATGTGAGACAAGGGGCAGCCTCGCCAAGGATGGTGTGATGACATTCTCAACTTGCAGGTGTGAACAGGGAAGGTTAGGGCTAGGGCGATTGGGGGTGATCTGATTGCTAGGGTGCAGAAATGAGGAGCAAATATAATATTGGACACGAACTGAATCATGTAAACTGGTCAGTTAGCACACTGTTCCAGCTTGAAGCATGCGAAGCTCTAGGTTCAGAGCACTCAATTTCCACTTAGCATTAGGTTATCAGTGGGTTTCGATTCCTTTGTATAACATCACTTCCAAACAAGAATCCCCAGCCTGATCCGGCCCTCAAGTGCCCCAAGTATGCCTAAATTACAATTTCCAGCACGAAGAGTCCGCCGAATGGTCCGCCCCATGTCGTGTTGCGCCCAAAAAGTGAATGACTCTGTGGAGGAGCGGCGGAAATGTGTCCTTCGAAAGCTGGAAGAGGAGCTCGTGCGCTCGGTGTGGGGGGGGAAGTGGATGTTTTGAGGTCCGAAAATCCAGCAATTCAGCTGCTTTTTGCCAGCAATTCGCCAAGAAATAGGTAGCAGCTAGTCCGGTTCGACTCAAAGTAGTGTTTCACGCAAACAACCTGCATTCCTATTCAGGCGTTTCGGGTCTCAGCATAGTACAATATAGTACACCTGGGTCTTCGAAAACGGCACAAATAATTGCCTTTTCAAGAAATGCCGTTTGTTTGTTGTGTTTGTTCCACCAACGGCAGCGTTTTATTTTGTTGTGACAAGATTGACATAGCGGACCGACACCAGCAAATTTTGTGGTAGCGGTGAGAAGCCAAGAAGAAACGGCGTCCAGAGTCCAAACGGAGTCTTTCCCTTTGTCCATGAAACAGCTTGCTTGCTGGTAAGATTTGGGCCGCTTATATAAGGATCGAGGTCTATCGGATAGTCTATCGAGATATATTGAGGTATTAAGGTATTTCAATAAAAAATGTTGGACACAATAGGAACGCTCTTGAAAACAAAGACTGGTGTCATAATGATGTCATAAGTCATGACCAACACCTCACGCGTGTGACAGCTGGCCATGGCGGCTTGTTTCAGTCAACCATCTCCCAAGGCTTCAACTCCCCATGATTCGCGGCCCGGATTTGCTCCTGGGCTGCGTTCTTCGCTGCGTTCTTCCGGGCAAAGACACGGGCTGGAATTTCCGGTGGAGGCGTGGCAGATGGTAGAAGCAATGGGTGACACGACTCTCAACCAGTTCCAGCAATGGGTGGTGGATGTTTTTGACCCATCCTAGTGGATCATACCTTTCATGGTCTGCAAACTCCAGAAGCTGTATTGTTGCGCCGCCTTCTGCCCCGAAGGCTTTTTGAACATGTTGCTATACAAACGATTCGCTGGGCTGTTCCAAAGGGGCCAACAAACAAAATAACCATAGCTGCTGTTGCCACCACAACACATGTCAACCATCATCCTTCCCCGGTTGACAATACAGCTCCTGTTGCAGGATACAGTCACACAATACAAACTCGTTGGGCCAGGGATTGGTCTCTTCCTGAGATTGCCACGGCCTCGAAACAAAGATGGCCAAAGTGAAGAAAGGCAAAGCCAAGTTGTGAAACAAATGACTGCTAAAGCGTCATAGAGGTCTAGAGTCTATAATTAGCATCTATGTAAATGCACAATTGCTGTATCCTGAACCTCATCAAACGCGTCGCGTGCACAGTTACGCCATCATGTTGCCGAAGAAGCAACCTTTCTCAGCTCAATTTGTAGCTGGTCAACAGGTCAACGCAACATTGTTTCGATGTTTCCTTACCTTAGAACAAGAGCGATAAGTCAACTGAGCTGAGTCTTTTTTTAGATGAACGGATGTTAATGAGCATTGACATCATTGATGGCTGATCAAAGGTTGGCGTAGGCATTCTGCTTGGGGGCGTCTCTACGCCCTCCGTGGGCATTTCTCTCCCGTGACTCGAACAGCTCTGCGGTTCCGATGGCATGCGGCGGGTGACTCTTCTTGTTTGCCTTGTTGCTGACTCGATGCGATGACCAGAGTGGGTTCAAGATCACGTTCCTAACATCCATGGTGATTTCAATGGTGGGCAACTTCTCAAAGACTGATTTGACCGATTAGCATGTGAAGCCATTGGCATGAGGATCTCATGAGAGCTTTTGGGCTGCAAAGGTGGAATGCTTGGCATCCAAGAAAATTGACGTCTTCTTGCCATTGTATTCCATGACTGGTTGGCGTTGTGCCATCTCAGCCCCTTTCCCACGGCAGCCTTGTGGAACCAAGCACGGTACTTCCGCAGCAATTCATCCAAGCCGCTCCAATAGCGCCACTGCCCAACCGTTGGATTTCCGCGAACAATTCACCAAACATGTAGTTGTAGTCATACTCGTACCTGTACCGGTCTTTTGGTGTCACCTCCAAATATTGAATTGCTGGCGATCATCAATCCACTCTTTGGTGCAACAACTATTGCTAGCCGTCTTGTTGCTCATGAGGCTTTGCACCACGTCACCAATTTGCGGCCCTTGGACCTTGGGCACCTCCGTATATCAATCCCAAGACCAATCAGCTGCATGAATCTCCGGCACCAGTGGTCCAGATCTCAAAATCGCGATCGATGCAAGGCATGATCTGATCGAAGGAAAGGCCTCAACTCAACGAATTGACCATGTGAACCTGCTCAAAGAACTGCATGTAAAGAAACAGGAGAAGGTGCACACGAAGTTTGATTTCATGGCTAGCAAGCTCATCACTGCCATAGTAACTCTCGGCGGATTGCTGTTTCAGGTGTGGCATGTTTGGGCTTTGTCATCCAAGGCACGCTTCTTGTTACTACTAGTAAGGCACTTGTTACTAGAAACGATGCACTTGTTCCTAGTAGCGAACATTGTTACTAAGAATGAACTTGGCTTCACGAGTTGGGCCGTTCATCCTGGCTTTGTGACCTTGCGTACCCAAATAGCGAGACTGGTGCACAATCTGGTGCAACGACATCATCAAACTGCGATCACTCAACTGTTTGCGGCCCTCGACTTGCCAGTGGGCGACGTTCAGGTTTTTGTTTGCAAGGCGGTCATGAGAGTAGGAGTGGAGGTGTTTCATGATGTGGGGTTTTGTTCTTTGCTTGTTGTTTGGTGGTCTCAACCATTTCTGAAAGGAGAGCCTTTTTGTAGTACTTGTTAGGCCTTTCATTCCTCACGAGATCCAGACTTTACACTTTGACGTTTAAATATGGCACAGACCTCAAGATGTTTTTTATATAGGGATCCATATAAATCACCTTTTGGGGATTGTGCCATCTACTCTGAAACCACTGTAACTTTGTCCCGAAAAAAACAATCGTGCGACCTCCCTGCGAATTCCTGTCTACGCTGCTACGCCAACACGTGGTCCTGAGGTTCTTCTCGCAGTGGCTGTATGAGGTGAGATATCGGTGGCCGGAGCGGTGCATGGTGACCTGAAAGGAACAGATCCGCCGCTGAAGAAGTATAGCTTTGAAGTGAGAGAGGGGCTGGTTGTGAGATTTCCTGGGGGTGATCAAGGATGAAATAGGAAGAATTTCAATTCAACATACATGTCATAAACAAGTCATCCCATCCAACATCCAAAAACATTCCCTTTGCTTTGACCTTCAGACCTCCATTCAGCAATGCGTCCATACTAATTACTCACACGGCGCGTTTTTTCAGCTGGAGCCGAACTTGCCCCGAGCCAGGCACACTTAACCTTTGCCAAGTTCCGTGTGACTGCGAGGGCCTCAGGCAGTGACCTTCAGCTGAGGAGCTGCTCGAGACGCGAACGCCTGATCGGTGAACATCTCTTTAATCACCGTGATTTCACGTAATTTGCTTACTTGAAGCTGACCAGTCCATGCATATCCATGCATCTATGCATGTACCCCTGACTCTGGTTCCGTGGTTTGGTCTTCACTTCGAGATGTGCACGTTGGTCGGGTGTGATCCTCCCAGTTTTGGATGTAGAAGGCAGGAGCAGGAGCTTCTTTTTCGATGTTTGTTGGGGCACCCACGGAGACTCTAATGGAAGAGAGTTTTCCGAAAAGCCATGTTGACTGGTCAATGCAACACATTGAGCAAGATCCACGTCGTCGACGTAGTCCTTCCAAAGCGGCGTTACGGCCGGTCTTTCACGGCCTCTCCGCAGATGGACCACGTCTTTGACGTGAATTTCGAGAGTTCCTTGGAGAAACGAGAGGTCCGCGGAAAAGGAATTGGATTTCCACAGACACATTGGATGAATTTTGAACACGCCCGTTTTACTTCAGCACCTTTTTTTGTACTTCACTTGTTTGCACTGAAGCTACTTTCAGGATCTTGCGGGAGTAGAAACACGTCCAAGTTGTGTCTGTCAAAACGAAGGATGAGAAGCAAACAGACCCAACATGTTAGACGATGGAACCAGCCCTGGTAAGCTGCAAAGATGGAGTTTGCAAGCGCTACTAATTGTTTGTCAGTTGTCATTTATTGGCAGTGCAGTTCTCATTTTTTCATCATGGCCTTTCCTCCATCGGTCATTCACAGGGCCCACTTGCATCCAATCGGATCACTGAGAGTCATTTTACCCAGAGCGGGCCCTTTTCAGGCTGTCAGAATTCCTCAATCACCAACATGGACTCTGTGTCAGTCTCCAGTGGGCTTGTCTTGGGATTGGGCAACCCGCTAAACCAATCAAAGCCCAGTTTGTGTCGCGGTAGGATTGCTTCAAGCCAGACATCTCCAGTCACCCCGAGCACCTGGGACCGACAGCCGAGGCTATGTGCCCGTCTTCCCCATCCGAGTGTCCATGTTCGGTACCGAGCTACGGACCTCGTGGCCGGTCTGGGTCGGGGCTCCTAGTCGAGTGGACCAGCAGTGGGGCCGTGGCAGCTGTCAGCCCGAAGTGGACCACCCGTGCCCCCAAGGAGCACCTCTTCTTCGAGGTGTTCCAAGGCAGCCTGGAGAAGAAGGCCCCTTGTTTTCCCCTTCAGACGTCCCAAACGTTTGCGCGACTTGCCAAAACAATGTGAGAAACATTGATGATGAGTTTGAAACACATATATCATATACTAGAGTCTTTCAACATCCATTACAATATATTACAATCCATAAATATAGTATAGTTGCAAAGAATGTTCACAAACATGTTCAATTTCTGGTGGGCCATCATTTATATGTTTCATGTTTGGTCGCAAGATCGAGCTTCCCACAAATTCCCATGAAGGTAAAAGCCCAAACAGCTAGCTCCTTACTCAATTTGTTATCAATCATGTTTGTCATGACCTGTCCCAACCACGGCCGGGCGATCGGCAGGTAGGCACTAGTGGCAACATCGCCCTCGCAGTGACACACTGCACCGCGCACCTTGGCACCATGGAGCTGTGGGGTTTCCTCAAGTCATTGGTGATGGCATGTCGATATGACATGTTTCAATCTACTACTACTACTACTACTACTACTACTACTACTACTACTCCTACTCCTACTCCTACTCCTACCCCTGCTACGATCAATATAGGGCACGTTCTGACCGTAAAAAAGGGACTGCAACAAGCATACTGCCAGCAATTACTGGAACATACTGATCGCATGGCAGGACTCTGTAAGATCTGACATTTAATCAAACCAATGGTGCAAAACCAAAACACGTTGGGTCATTTGCGGCCGTTGGCGGCCATGCTTCGATGGGTCGCCCTGGGTCGCCCATAGGCTCGAGCACAACGCTTGCATCCCACCCGCTGAGCCGTCGGGACGCCCAGAGTCTGTGCGTTTGGAGATGCCCCCCGACAAGGGTTTTACCGGAGAGACTCTTGACCAATGGCCCAACGATTATGTATAGAGACACAACATCCCTATATAATATTATATATATATATCATTATGATATAGACTGATATACAGTAATATGTATTTCACATGTTTATAGGGTCTTCTAACAATATGTGTTTGTTTTGAACGGCTTTGAATAAGTATCAATGTGCACATGTGAGTCACGAGACTTCATCATTGGAACCTACGGCTCATGATTGCACAATTTGAGCAGAGCCAAAGATTACAGTAACTGATGTGGGTCACCAGATGGACATCACCCGAAAGCCTGGTGTTCTGACCGGAGGCCATTGGATTTCGACTTCGAGGACTACTTTGCTCACTCCCGCGATCTGACAGGAGACGGATCAAGGGTTCTCAGCTTTGAAAAGCATTTAACAGGCCCAAGCAGGTCGCCCAAGTCTCAGTCCAAGTCCCAGAAAGTCCAGGAGCACTGGACCAGTGTTTCTTTCTTTCTTTGTCCGTGGTTGCCTCTCACTGGACCCCCCACACTGAATCTGTGGAAGCAAAACTCCATCGGGGCCCACCTGGTGGGAGCATCCTGTGGTCGGGGAGTGGCCGCAGCATCCAAGATGATAAGCCTTTATTAATGCTCCATTGATTTTCCCAATATTACATGGTCTATGTCTATCAATAGTCTAGTCTTGACAACGTTTGGTCGTCTAGGTTACTTTCTTGATTTGCTTGCGCGGAGATCATGGCTCACAACATTTGGGGGGTGGAGCCAAGGATCCCGGTTATTTCTGGCCGATGATCACCCTTCTTTTGTTGAAAGTACACACCGGATCGTTGAGGAGGCCTTTTTCCTGACTGAGCCGACCTGAATGGCTACAAAAACCGGCGCGTTCCAAGATGCTTGTTAAGGTCAGGCTCTCCTGTTGTAGGCAAAGGATCTTTCTGTTGGACAACTCATAGCGGGCCGCAGAAATATGTGGTTGAAGCTCTTTGGTCAGCGAGTCTCCAAATCATCATAGAAACGAAAAGTGGCTGTATGATGTTGCATGATGTTGCCGTAGATTGACATGACTTGACCAGTCATGTCGGCGATGAAAGGACACCAACAAAACTCGCGTGCGCAGACATGAGAAACTAGAACATGAGACGATTCCAAGGTGATTCTATTTGGTCGCATACGGTTGTATGCAGTGTTTGACAGAGGATTGTTTTGCACCTCAAAGAGCTCTAGGATTTGAACCAAAACCAGGTCTTTTGCCAGCTGTCCGAACTGCAGTTCCGGTTTTCATTTTGTTTCAAGAAGACTTATAGAAGCTGCAAGGTTGGAAAGAAAGCATCGAAACTGTATTGGCCACTGCGCATCCCACCAGCTGCTCTTGCCCTTTGGACCGACATTCAACACAGAGACGCCGAGTCAAAACTACGCTGACCTGAATTCCTCATAGCTCCGATATTTTGACACAAATCCCAAGTGGTGGTTTGCATGCGTTGGTTTGCGTGCCGTTTGGAATTGCAATGGACAGACAAGCTCTTTTTCAAGCCACCTGGGCAGACAATGGCAGTGTGAGATTGGAGCTTTCTGTGCACAAGACGTCAAAGACTTTGCCCTCTTGATCATGGCTTTCATGTTCGTGTGATCGTTAGGATTCTGGATTTGCACTTGACCCATTCCTAGCCTATGCCATATGAACACAAGGAGAAGAGTGCTTTTATCCCCTTCAACTCTATAGTTTGATGGGTAGGTCCAGGTGTCAGGCTTGTCACCTGAAGCCTTTCAAGAGGAACAGTACCGTGCATCATTCACTCGCCCAGAGGTATGTATGCACAGAATATGTTCATGCACTGTGGAGCAGTTATCTAATTATACATAGGGGAATCTCGTCGGCTGTTGTTGCCAATCGAACTCCCTCCGTACCACTTCAGGACTGAGTTTAACCTTGAAGGATTGCAAAGCCGCCAGCAACAGCTTAACCGATGATCCTCAATCACTTGATGATTGATATTGTATCATGATCGATATGATGTTTGAAACTGCAACGTTTCCATACAGTGGTTCCTTCCAGCCCCGCTTTTCCGTTGAACGGGCAGACCTGCCGTGAAGAATTACCGTTGAAGAACGTAGGGCCTATGGGTAGAGTCGATGTGTCAATGGTCAAGACCAAGTGCCTTCGCTTCGGTTCTGAGGCTTTGTACCAAAATCAAAACATCCCGCCCAATGTGGCGCCACTTGGAAGAAAGAACTTGCTTTACGGAGGACGCCACGAGATCAGACGGACGGACCACACTTTCGAGATTCGTTGGACGCCGCAGAACCCATGCTCGCAAGGAATGCATACTATGCCTGGTGCCAGTCGATTCTACACGGCCCCAGAGGCAGCGAGGACGGCGTCCGTCGACTGCGGCGGGGAGACGGGTCCCCTCATGGCGTGGGGAGACGTTCACGCGGTTCGCTCGCGGAGGCGAACTGATATGACTTCGTCATGTGACACGCACAAACGAATTGAATTGCCCAAGAATCCAATGCAAAAAAACAGGTCGAAAGGGACCCTGGAAACCAGGTGCTCAAGGTACAATTGAACAAAGTCAGAAATCCACCCCCTTTGCAACAGGTCTCGCCAGATGACTTGATATTGATATCTTGTATCTAATCACGCAGGTCAAAAAACAAGAAAAACATACTGGCACAAGCACAGGTGCCCGTGCTTGCTCAGGAGGACCAGCTGACCAACTTCAAGCGAGTCGCCGAGGAGCACTATCAGTTGATGCATGAACAGTTGACAAAGGCGACGGGCTGGCTCCGGCGGCTTCGGCTTCGCTTTGTGGCTTCGGGGCTCATGGTTCAGGTCTGGATTTGCAGATCTTCTGCCGAGACCTGGTGGTATGAGTCTGAAGCTCGCATAAGTTTACTATGGGTTTCAGAGGAATCGTCGTCGTAGCCTGCATCAGAGGTTTTGGATTAAGAACCTTGACCTAAAAAATCTACAGAAGGAAGACTTCCAGACCCAACAGATGACTGCAGTTGCCCCGCCACTCGCCACGTTCGGCAGTTGCCCAGGTGGAGGAGACTTATGAGTCGCAACTGGACCAGTGGGAGGAGAGCCTGAATCACCAGGACACGGAGCTGAATCAGCTTCTCAGCCGAAAACCAACCAGGGAAACGTACTTGGTTCAAACCCATTCGGTTTCAAGCCATTTCCCCTGTGAATCAGCAGATCGCATAAGACTGTGTGTGAAAAAGGTGGGAAACTGGCGCCAAGTTCTACATCCGATGATCTTGGAAAACAGGGTGTTGCGAGGTCGTGTATGCATTGTGAATGTGGATTCGTAGGAAGAGGAATCGATGAATAGTAGTAGGGGACATCCATATGGATGGACATCCATCCCAAAGGTTGGGACCATGAAACTGAAATCTGTTCCACATTGTTCCACTTTCATGTCCACCACATACACGACGGCTTTTTGCCAGGTGCACCCTGTGTTGAACCTTGGGAGACTCCCAAAGATGGGCCTATGCGAAGAAGCAACTTAACATCGGCCAAGACCGATGATGGAGGCCTCCGACAGGTCTCCCACTGCCTGTTTCGGGTGTCCTCAGCTGCAGGTTGCAGCTCCAGCTGAAGAACGCCGAGCCGGCCCCTGGTGAGGTGGCAGAAACGAAAAACGTTGAAACAAGACGCGGCGAAGTCCGGGTTCCATGAATGAACATGGTTGAACATGCCGTGAGTTTGCCAAAATTGGCATAAATATTAGATGTTGTGCCTTCAATGTTACATGTTTTGCTGGAAGTGGGAGTTGGGAATGGATCCAATTTGTCAGGCAAGGGAGGCGGGACTGTCACTGAGAGAGATCAGCTTCGAGCCCAATGATGCCAATTTGCGATTACTTGTCACATTGCAGATTTCAGCCTCATTTGTCTATCTTGCCCAGATATTCATCGCATGGGGAAGCCCTTTGTATTGCCCATCATGACTTTCTCTTTTGCCTTGGTTGTATTTTGGGATCTGTTGCCATCAATGTGATGGTTTTTGACAGGTCCTTTGATTCAGTAGTCTCCTCACTCATATTGCTAACTGCATCATCTTCATGGCCGTTCGAGTGTGTCATACAGGCTTTCTCAGTCCCCCAAAGCATCTTTTGAGTCTCAAAAGAAAATGAATAGAAGTGCGGAGCACGGACGCTACGAACGGGGCTCCTGGCATCGCTACTAGGAGCACGGACGCTACGAACGGGGCAAAGGGACGTTCGGCACGGCCTCCGCACGGGCCGCCGCTCCGCCGCTCCAGGACTCAGCGACCTCCTCCTGCTCCACCGACACTGAGAAGGCCCGGACCATCGGAGCCACGGAGTCGGGAGCGACCATTCGAGTTCACCGGCAGATTTGTATGACACCTGGCCACATCTGTAGATAGTTGTACATAGGGTGATTCTTAATGTCAGCAAAAAAACAACTATATGTGTATATATATATATAGACACTTGCTGTCCCTCAACGTCGTGCTTGGGGATGTGCATCCTCCTTTGATTCCCACACGCACACAAAGTGTGAAAGGGAGGACAGTGACACTCTCGTGTGTGGTCCCCAGGTCGCTTTCAGGTGGCAACAGGTTTAACCGAAACCGTACAGGAAGACACTTGATTCATGTGACAAATCCTGTACTAGGTGTGAGAGAGCTGATAGCTATTAGCCCCGTTGCACTCATAGTGGAAGATCACTGCTTGCGATGCCAGACACGGTCGACCGACCCAGACCTCGCCCAGGCACTGGTCACGCAACAGCTCATTCAGGCGCGGCCACGTATTTGACCACTGCCAACGAAAACCAAACAAAAGTTGCACTTGTTCAAAGAAACAAATATATATAATATATGCATTACTTCTAAAGTCCGACAGAATTGAATAGTATATACTATAGCGGCTATTGCTGTAGTTGTTTAACCACGTTTATATAACCGAACAAACATATATTTCTGGGCTGCACGGCTCCGGGAGTTTGCCCTTTCCATTTCTTGGTGATGACTGAGACGGCTCACGCGATTGGCTGTTATCCATACCATGATTTGGAACAGATTTCATGCCATTCATGGCTCGCTGTATCAACGACCAGTTGAAGGCTTGTCTCAACCGCATGTGTTTGGAACCGCGTTTCAGTTCGCCGCCGCATCCTTTCCGCTTCAAAGCAGTCGGAACCAAGGCAGTCCAAGGGCCTAAAGGCCACTTGTAAGAGACCTACTCGCAAGGTCGCATGCGCGTGACATCGCGTGACCATCTACAAGGTTGCACACACAAACCAGTAAGAACGATAGGTGCTCGCTCATGAAGACCAAGTTCTGGGAGTTTTGTTGTGGATAAGAACCATTGATAACCATTGTGTATCTGTGTTTTTGCAAGAAACCGGTGGTGCGGTGGCTTCTTCAGTTTTGCGCTGGTCATGCAAAAGGGGTTGCAACGTACTGCCCACGTGGCTTCCTTGACACCAAAGCTTTATGCATTTGATGTTTGTTTGGTTCTCTTCCTGAATTCCTATAGATTTTAGCTGCTTGGCTTTGTTGGCTACAAAGTTCTGTATGCTTTTGAGCTCAATCTTTACCAAGAAACACAGCTTCTCCCGCCAGGACTTTGGTCCGGAGAGGGTCCCCCCGATGACACTCATTGAGGTCGGCATGGAGGTCCGCAGAAAAAGCGGCCGGCCGTTGAGGGTGGACAGGATCCCCCCGGCCCCCCCACCCTGGTTGGCTTCGATTACGAACGGGAAAGTGGAAGACGAGCCGACCATGACCATCCCCAATACATACCTATCATAGATGTTCTTCATCATACGTGCTAGTATCATGTGTTGTATTACACGTGGACAACACCCGATGCTCTACCTAAGGCTGTATATAGAGGGGGCAGTAGAGGGGGCTTAATGTGCAAACCGGAAAGGCTTTGGTGTTCGAAGGTTGAAGTCTTGAAAGTAAGTCATTCATGGACTAACTGCTGTCAGTTTTTTGCAGTAGATGTTTTTGTTCCGAATCTCATCAGCATAGTGTCCATTGAGTCTATTGAATCTAGGGCTTGAATTTGCATGATTGATCATTGCCGATCCAATTCTTGAGAACATTGGAATCCACCTTTATTTATGGTAGATGAGATGCGGTGATCACAAGCTGGACTTTCGATTTGTCAGCCCTCATGTTCGTAAGTTGGTGATGGTTTGCCTTAAAGTGATGAAATTTCCGGCACCTAGCATGCCCTGGTCGGCCTTATATAATATACAATTATATACATATATATATATATATGAACCTACATTCATTATTGAGCAATCTACAACTTCCCCGTGTCGGTCACAGGTCTACAAGCTGCAATGCCATACCTATACGTGTGTGAATTGAGTGTTGGAATCCTTCAACTTGATTCAAATCCTTTTTGTCACCGCAAGCTACGGACATTTATCCATCCCGACTGCGTGACTCTCCCCAAAGCAGCAGCTTGCCCAATTGTCTCCCGAGGGTTTCTAAAGAGCATTTTTGTATAACTTTAAACTCCCATTGGTTTGGGGCTCGCTATTCTGATGCACATCCACTTGTTTTTGACCATTTCATGTGGAGTGTTCTCCTTTGAAGGCTCCACCAGTCCTTGTCGCCGGCATGATCCCTGGAGCGACGGGAAAAATGATAGGTGCGACTTGGCTGTTAGAGAGAGTTGGGAAGTTTAGTTTCGGAATCATTGGCAAAAAACTGGCGAAACAGGATCTTAGAAGGACATGTATGAGGAGGAGGAGGAGGAGGAGGAGGGTCCATGATTGGCATGCTGAACAATGAAGGCAGATGACGAATCATATCCAACCCTCGGCCTTTGGTTGGATTGTACGTTTGATTAGTTGTCCATCAAATTTTGGGCTGCAGTTTTGGAGATGCACGTGTTAGGGGTCATGATGGATAATGCCAGTGATACATAGTGATACACTTCATTTCTCCAAATCAGCAAGCTCGCATCTCGCGAACCGGGCGGTGGTGATTCGCCCCACGAAATGGGTGATGGTAAGATGTGAGATGGCATAGCTTGGCAGCAAGATGATTCAAACCATAGGATTTGCATGGGAACATTGGCCGGCTTTTCACTTATATAATATAGGTCCCGTTTGCTGTTGGATGTGTTGGATGTCATTTCATTACTGTATATGAGCAACCACTGGTATTTAGGCTTCACTCAAGTGGTCTAAGGGATGCTCTATTTGCTTGTCTATCATCAGTATTCGCTTGTGAACGAGATAGGGCCCACATAAACGAGATAGCTTGATGACACTAAAGTAGTCTGATCTGCTACGTCTGAATGAGATACTGTGACATGACCTCCTACTTCAATAGTCTAGATAGGGCCCCCACATAAACCGCATAGGGTAGCCGAGCGAGTCAGATACCTTCGATGCTGAGCGAGTCAGATTCACCTCTCGCGACTCAGGATGATACTAAGGGCGATTGGGAAATTAGCAGCTTGCTTGCAGCAGTTCTGAATAGGTGTAGGCCAAAAAGCAGGTGGATGAAAGGCATTCGGCGATCTGTTGCACGAGACGGCATGGGGCTTTTTTCTGTGGGATTCTTTTGGTAGTTATACAGTCATACACTTCCGGTTGCAGCTCAGGCGTAACTCTAAGCCTTTCTCAGACCCTCATCCATCCTCATCCCCTGCACTCCTGACCTGATGCTCGGTTGTCACGTTGGAACATGTGAGGTGGTAACGATTCAACCTATGTTCCTGAAAAAGTGTGGTCGGACTTGATCCGTGACCGCGGCTCAATGGAAAAAAACCGAGCTGATCATGCTGATCCGTGACCGGTGCAGAGTTGGGGCTGTGAGTTCTTGGTGTTGAATGCTTGGAGTACGAAGGAGTGCTTGGAGATGCTTGGAGTAGTGTCTAGTTTGCAGAAAAGCCAGGTCAGAAATTGGTTGAGGCGTATAGAGGCACTACTTGGCTGCGGATTAATCACTGGTATTTTCTGCAGCTCTTGACTATTAGTTTTTGTGATAATGACATCACAGAAGATGGACGAACCACAACTAGCATCCACCAGCTCCAGCTCTGTTTTGTGACACAAGCTACCAATACGCGGACATTATATAGGCTCGCCCGCTGTTTTACAGGTGGATCTCTAGACACGCTGGTGCATGTGCACCGTGCAGTAGGGAAACAGTAGACGCTTTCTTGACATGGAAACCAATTAGTCACTAATGTCACTATATAGAATCTATGTACAAGGGATTATATAGTCTCAGTCTCAGAATCTCTTGGATCAATCAAAAAGTTCAACCAAAGGTTTCTCTACTGTAGGCTTCTTACTCCACTGACCACCAAGCACTCGCACTTTGCGCCTCGCTGTGTTTGCACATGGTGCGCAACATGCCATGCAAGTGGCACACTTACACCATGCTGCTATCCTCGACCTGGACGGGCGTTGCGAGGTTCAGACGGGCGTTTGAGGTTTAGGGAGATGAACAACACCAGCAGCTGCGGGACAAATCTACTTGGATTCAGAACGGAGGGAGAGCCAACAGGTCCACCTTGGTTGCAAGTGTTCCATGCATATCCAGTGGTAGCTGTTCGACCGATTTAGATTCCCAAGGGTCCCGGTCATTTTCTGACCAGTTTTTGCCGTACTGATCCCCTGTGCTTTACAGACATCCACGTGAAATATGGAGATGACACGAGATGACCAGTTTACCAGAGGACTTCTGTTGTCGCTTTCCTGGAGCCCTCAGACCCTTGTCAGGCCTGGCTTTGGGGCGGGAAACCTTCTCACCATGGATTCAATCAAAGCGTTGCTTCGGGAATCGCTTCTAGGTTGGAGGCCATCGCTGTTAGGTTGGAGGGTTGGAGGCCATCGCTCTTAGGTAAGCGTTGCTTAGGGAAAAAGACTCGGATGGACAGCACCGGTTCAGCAGAGTCGTCTAGCGGACCGCAGGACCAGGCACGAGCTTTGCCTGGACCACAGCACAGAGGGTCAGGCGTGGAGCTATGGGTGCTCGACCTAATCCTCAGGAATTTGATGGAATTTGATGTTTGATGCAGTTTACAGCTGGGATTTTCAGTGCTGGGAGGCAAATGCATATCGGATGAATCCTAATAAATATATAATGGAAAAATGTACTGGTATATAGTCTGTCTCTGTCAATTTGGAATGAGACCATACGTTCAATATCCTGCAATACACGTCGCTGATCAAAGCCACACACGCGAGAAACCTTGTTGCCAACAAGAACGAGTACAGTAGGGATCGGAGTATCTTTGCACAAAGGGCATTGATTCTGTTACATTTAGTGTTTTGCTTTAAGAATCAACGCTAGAATGTTTTCTTGAATATGCAATCTATGCAGGGGTTCTGGACAAACAGACCAACATGCCGTGCCATTTTACAGTCGGACCCCAGTCTAAAAACCGGGAACCACTCTACCTCTCGAGGCCAATCCCTTGGCAGTGTACAGCCTCGGTGCATTGGCGCACCTCTTGCAGCTTTTGCAGGTCGTTGCACCGGAAGTGGCGTTTGGAAGGCGGGAACTTTGGTGGAGGCAGACTTGAGGATCTATGCGTGTAGGCAAATTCTAATCAGCCCAAACAATACTGTAGGCTTTGCGCAAAACTAGGACAAAAATCACTCCGGTTTCTGTAGGTTGTGCTACTTCTAGATAGAAGATGAGTATGCCAATGCTCATTGATGTTCCATGTTTGTCAGGGAGGTTGTTGCGTGCAATCCTTTGATCGTGCCAGCACGATGGAGGCCTGGCCGATGGTTTCGCTCCCATTCTGCCTAAAAAGGAGATTGGGGCACTGTAGCTCGCCTGCGATGTTCAGGGAGAGGGCAGGCTTGCCAATCAACATGCCTTCGGAACTCGACGACTCGAGGATTGCAGAAACTTGACGGGAGGGATGTTCCAGCGTTTGGCTGTAAAGATTGATATATTGGTTGTGCCATGTTGTGCCAGTGGATCTACCCGGTGCCGGGTTCTGTTGGCATGTTTTCTGTTTGAGCCAAACGAATTAACCCCCGGAAATGACGCATGGAAGCAGAGAGTTTGGAGTGTAGTGCAGATATAAACTTGAAGGTCAAAGTACGTCAAAGTGCGAGCCACTTCAGGCCAGCCAACAGACATACAGAAATATACAGAAATATTAAGAAGTGTTCAAGTTTGACAAGGTCAGTGCACGCAGGTCTTTGATACCAAATCCCATGTCGAGATGACCGACATCGCCACACCGAGGCCGACGTCGCGAGTGTGGACTCTTGGCGCCGCTCAGGTCAGAAGGAAGCGGATCGAACATGCACCTTAGAGGGCCAACATATGTTGTTCAGATATGTTCAGTTCATTGCTTTGGGCAATAAGACATGAATTTCTTTTCTGGTTTACTGGTCCAACCGTCCTACCCCGGTTTGACAAACACGAGAGACTCCTTGAGGAGATCATGCTGAGCGTACACGGTCCTTGTTTGGTCTGGGCTTTGAGAGTACGAATGCAGCTAGTTCAGTTCTGTTTAGTTTAGCGCAGCCTTTCGGCTTTCCTTGTGACAAAACAAGAACGATTCAAAGGGTAACTTATATAGTTGTTGCTATATGTACACATAAAACAGATGATATATATATATATATGATTGAAAAACGTCTCATCTATATGCATATATCATTTGCATGTCTAATATAAGATATGTGTATCTCTCTCTATATACAGAAATCAATCAGAACGAGGTACCTTTGCCGAGACGGTGAGCCGTGGCGGACGCAGCTGCGGAGGTGGCCCACGGAGTCTCGTGACCCGGAGGTCTTTTGGGAGGAGAGCTGATCCGGGAGCTGAGTGACACCAGTGGTGACAAAATCAGGGTAAATCGGTTAAATAATGTGTTTCAGCTGGATTAGTTCGTATTGTAGCATATTGTAGCTTTTGGTTTGATGGTCCAGTTTGATAGATTCCCTGGTAGAGTTCGTGCTCCTTTTGTACATTCAGATTCCCTTCTATGAGGAGTGAACAACCCACAAAATCTAACAAGAGGTGATGGATGTGGTGTGGCTTGGCGTGGATCCATACAGATCCACTCAAAGGCACTTCCCGGGTCGCATAATGAAAGCGGAAGACACACCAACATGGCTGGCCTTCGATTGGAAGGGGATGGATTCAGGGGACGACACAAAGCCAACATGACGCCCTCAGGAGGCGGTTCCGGATGGCGCCGCAGTGGATGTTCTCGAGCTCGCTGGCAGCTTCGCAAGAGTCAGGACGGCGGTGGGTCTGTGACGCCAATTGGATTGCTATGAAAGTCATGGAAGCTGACTGGGGTGGTTTTGGTGGTTTTGATGATGGAAGCTTTTGGTGACTCATGATGTTGTTGATGAGATTGGGCTTGCGCACTTTTGAAGGGCAGGCAAGCTTTTGTTGGTTCCGGGTCAAGCGCATGGGGTCAACTAATTACTATAGTTTAACATGGGGTCAACTAGTTCATTAGCTACTAGTTTAAAGCAAAGTGACTCAGGGAAAGAACAGGTTTAGTTTCTTTGGATCTGAGGACATTGAAACATGTATAGACTTGAACTTATTTTCCGTTGCGTAGGCAAATTTCAGAATGTTGGTGCAAATCCCAGTCGAAGGAGAGCAAAATTGAAAAGGGAGAAGATTCGTTGCTTTTACACATCCACATGAATAGAGTCTAAATCATCATGTGTAACATGTGAAAAGAGACGAAGAACTGCACATGTGTTTCGCAACAAAGGCCGGCAAATCAGAGGAAAACAACACTGCACACCCAATGTCAAGCTGGAAAACCTTTGAGTGATGCAGCTTTGTTTTCTAATTGGTGATGCAAACATTCAGTTGAAAGGTAGTCTTTGCTGGCCAAAGGGTGACGTTGCAGGATGTTTTTGGCCTTGGCTAACGGGTTGTTGTGCTGGACTTTCTACAGCGGGTCCTGATCAGCATAGTTGATCAGTTGTTCCTCGGGTGTTGGTCGCCTGGTTGCTTGACGAGGACAATGAGTGGAATGGAAGGCTGGGTGCAAAAGCAGCAGCTCGGATGAGCAAGAAACGGTCCTTAACCTGCACACATTTACCTATATAACAGTGTTATCCGGTGATTAAGTGAGCCCCCGCTGTCCTAGCATGAACGCATGAACCATTTCATGTAATACTACCGCCAATGGCCCGTGGCCTTCAGAGTCAGATTGCCAGTAAATCTTGGCGAATGACTTCAGAGACCTCAGATCCTTTAATCACTCTATAGTTCCTCGTGACTTAGGTTCACCTGGTATTGCTTTTGTCATGTGCTACTTGGGAGCATCCTTGGACACCTATGATCCCTACCACATGTGATAAACAGTCAGCTGAGGTATCTTCGTGGCTTTGTTCGGACGGGGCACCAGGCAGGTGGACTGGGTCTGACTGGCGCGATCCCCGCTCGACTGGATCAGGTCACAAGCGTTGGTTGCTTGATGCCTGGGACTCAGGCGAGACGAGACGGTCAGAGGACTGATGACCCGAGAGGAGCCGAGGAACATGGATCATGTTTGGGCTATGAATCTCCATAAAAAATACCATTGCTTTCATACATGTTCATTATAAGCTTTCTCTGGGTTTATTTTATTGGCCTTTTGGTATTATTTGTCCAATTCACATCTTACATGTTGTTATCCCTTTGAGTTCCCAACGCTTCCTACATTCAGGCCTCCGGCCCCTCAGTGCTGAAGGCTGCCGTGCCCAGCGTTTCTGGGTGGAAGGCCATCGCGTTTCCGGTGGTGTTTCAACATCGGAAAGGAGCACAACTTCTGTGGCAGAACCAAGCTGGAACCTGGCTCCAAATGCATATTATTCCCCAAACAGTGTGGTCACACTAAGGGGTCTTTCGGTAGGGGTTAAGGGCCAGTGTCTGATCAAGGTGTCGCGCATCCGTGTCCGGCCAATTCGCTGCTATTTACAGTACATTATATTCATGCGCCTTTCGAAATCCTCGAAATGCATTTCGACTGCGCAGGCTCGCAAAATCTGGTTGGCTGGAGCGGGTGCTTGTCGCGACTGCGCTCTCGTAGCTCACACACTCACACTCACACTCACACTCGCACTCACTCATTCACTCATTCACTCTCCCTCTCGCTCTCACTCTCACTCTCACCCTCGCTCTCACTCTCGCTCTCACTCCCACCCTCACTCTCACTCACATTCTCACTCTCACTCACGCTCACTCACCACCACCACCACGATCTCCACCTTCATCACCACCATCACCTCTTTGGACGCCAATGCGTCGAGATCTCTAGACTTTCTGCTGCTACACCTCAGACCTCTAGACCTCACACAGACACTGCTTGGGGTCTCTTACCGGGATAATCTGTTGTTTGTTGGGGATGCTCAGTACTGTGTGTATGCCTCATTAATGTCGAACTTAAATGTCCTATCTAGCCTCTTGGTTTTGGAGGTTTCATGTGGTCTTTGGGTCACATTTGCTCGAAAATACAAGCAACAAACATTCCATGACATGCCTCCATCTCCTTTGCAGGGAGCTCCCCTGCCACGCTTGGAGCGTTTGAAGGGCGTCTTGGAATCTCTTCAGCTCAGATGCCAATTGGCCCCGAACTGAGATCGGGCTGCCTTAGCGGAGTCCAAACAGAGGCGCTTGGAGTTGGCGGTGAGACGAATCTGACAGATGTCGAAACCAAGACCCGAGGCGGCAGAAGAGCTGTGCGTCTGGGCAAAATCCGATTTACGTCTTCGATGGATGGAACTCCGATGGATGTTCAGGAAAATTGGAGCCAAAAGGGTCGGGGCTTGAGTTCAACTTCAGGGAGGCACCACGGCACCACTATGTACACAGTTCCCCTTATTCTAATTCAGTTTCCACAAATAACTCTACGGGTGGCTAGACATGTCCTTACATCAGCATACACTGACTAAAACAGACAAAACAAAACACACTTTTCTCGTCATCCCTCAAATTCTGCCAATCTCGTCCGTGCATGTTCGATGGACCTTTTCCTTCGTCCTTGGCTTTTAGCTGAGACTCGAACGTTGACCCCGCCAGTCTGAGGCCCGTCGGCGGCTCGGGATGCACCCCAGTTCCTACGATATGCCTGGGCAGCACCGGCCACCGCCATCGTGCTGGGCGCGTGGCAGGTTGGACTTTGCTTGGTGGTTTGATGGGGCGGCTATGGCTTCAGGATCGGAGGCGTTGTGTCCCTTGGGGCACTCGAGTACTTAAAGAGGATGTTATCATCTTAGGTGTAGATGCTAGACGACATGTAACTCACATGGAGTATCATGCGCATGGAGTATCATGGAGTAATGATGAGCAATGGGTTGAAATATGTTGAAATCAGTGGACGAAATCAGTGGACTCAGTGGAGCACATGCAAATCACATGTCCTGGATCATTTGGTGAGACAGTGATTACCCATGTGCAGAGGTGTGATTGAACCTGCAGAAGATTCGTTCCAGTCAAGCTCACCCTTCCCCAGGCCTTGAGCAATTTAGACGGGCAAGCAAGACCAGCCGATCCAGCCGTGTGTATGGCTCCCAAGTTCCAGTCACAGTTGGTACCTCTTGCTGTTTGCTGAAACAACATGTAGATCGAATCGTGGGCTTGCACCAACCTGGGATAGGGATAGGCCATGATAGGCAAAGCTGGGATAGGCACCGTTCGGCGCCCCCAGATCCCAAAGCGGCAGGGTGGAAGGGGCATCACCTTCCGTGGCAGTTCCTCCGAGTTGCTACGTGCGCTGGACCTCTTGGGCTACCTTTCAGTGCCCGGTCGCTCCGGTCGCACGGTCTCTCCTCGATCCGGTGAGCGATGGAGACCAGACCCGGAAGACTTAGGAGTAATGAATAATCATGAAGACTTCGGAAGATGTGTACTTTAACTGGTTTACAGATCAAACTAAACTAGTGTTCAGAATCCATCAGATTCATCCAAGCAACTAAGGTGATCTCCTGGATGAGATAATCCCTTTGGAGCTTGGCACTTCAGCCCCCTCCTTCTCCTGTGCTTTGCTGGGCGAAGGCCGGCACATGGGGTTGAGATGGGTTGAGCCAGTTGAGCCAAATGGCATTTGTTCCCTGCAATTTCACCAAACACTTGACCCACAAGCGGTTTCTTCCGATTTTGAAAGAACGAAACCATTAATGCAGAGTCTAAGGGTCCAAGTGCACGCAGAGTCTTAGTGATGGGGTTTCTGCACTAGAATCACCCCTAGGTTGGTGCCCTTCCTTCACTTCCTTTGCAGATGTCCCGATACCTTCGGCCCAGTCATTCTACAAGGCACACAGAAGCACTGTGGGTCTAAGTGGATTCCCAAAACGATGTGGACACCGTAAGCACTCAACCTAGCCTGGAAGCTGCTTTTTGCCAGGTCACCACGACATCGGCATCAAAACCGAATGGCCTCCAACCCAAGAGCGATGGCCTCCAACAAAATAGCATCAAAACCCCACAAAGGCCCTCATTTTGGAGTTCGATCACCAGATGATCAATGGTCGCATGCCCAGGTGCCGACTTCTTCCTGCGCCGCGAGGCGCTCCCGTTCGGGCACGCGGTGGCCTTGCTGGCCGGCGGGCCGCTTCAGGTGCGTTTGCGTCCGCCGGAGAGCCACTGGGCATTCATATGGACCTCGACTCTGGACATGGAAAGATTGGGAAGACTTCCTGTCATGGCCACCTTTGCATTGATATTGTTGACGTATCAGGATGGAGCTAATAGATGGAGCTGATTGGAGCTGTACCCAACTGCCAGCTGAGTGGTGTGGGACACAAAATTAGGCGTAGAACCACTCAAAATTCGGTGGTCCGGAAGCATGGGATGGGAAGTGGGGACGTGCCGATCTCAGCTGGAAGTAGTTCACGAAGGCAGGAGGTTTGTTTGTTACTGTCTTGTTATTGCAGGTCTGTGCAAGGGTTGTTTCAGAGGTAGCGCATGGAGTTTGAGACATTTTGAGACTAAAGAGAGGGCTCAGCTGGCTCTGTCGACTTTAGATCAACATGATTGACAGGAGGCAAGAGCAAAGTGGAGCATACTCGTTGTCGTATAGTACTAATATGACTATCTATAGAACCGATGCGATGTATACTATATACTACAATGCGCTACTGTAGGTTCCATTCCATGTTTGTGCACGACTGACATGAGCTCACGCTTTCTGCAGGAATTAGAGCCAGGAGAACTCCCTGCAAGGTTTGGCTGCTCACACATGGTATTAGTAGATTAATATTAGGGTCACCGAGGAAGCCAAGACGCTACGCATCGCTACTTATTGAATGTCCCGAGATGGATTTATGGTTCGCAGATGTTCGGCTATATAACAGGCGTGTCTTCCCCTCAGAGACCGAGAGCTACCCTTTCGGCCAATTGGTGACGATTTGACACAGCATTTGGCGTCAAATTACAGACGTCTACCTTTTTCAAGGAATTCCCCACAGAAGACTGCTAGGCCCAGTGCCCAGCGACGCCTTGCTGGGACACCGCACTGCAGCGCTGTCACGGGTCGATTTGCCCGGAACCTCAAAATAGGCGAACAACCGCTGGGCCACTGGGCCCATTGGCTCCTCGTGTCTCCTAAAGGCTCACTTATTTGACACTTCTGTGTGAAGTACGAGTGAAAATCTCGATGTTTCTGCTGGCTAAGAAATTTGAGGATGGTTTCCACAGGTCAATGGTAGACTGGCAGAGAAAAACGGATCCGCCCAGCAGATCGGTTCACGAACGACCGAGGTTTCACCATGATTTTGCTGCTTCGGCCGAGTTGGAGGCAGAGTTGCACGAAGGTGAGGGCCACGGGACCGGTGAGCTCAGACTGCAGACCGAGCTGAACCAGCTGGGAACCGAACCCTGGTTCTTGATATTTTTGTATACACCAAGTCATACCCAGTGTGCTGTCAAACCAACTGGGATGTGAAGAGTTGATGTCCAATTTGTTAGGATTTCTTCCAATGTCAAAGATCATGCTTGGAATGCTGGAACTATGGTGACTCCACTGTATCTTCAACTCATGGTTCAAAGCACTCTGTTACACAACCACTATATATACAACCGCGATTTCTGCAAATCACATCCCCCCACAGTTCTCACCCACTGACTTCGCTTGAACCTGCTCCCACCCAGGCGATGTGCTGCTGATTCCACCTGGCTGGTGGCATCAGCCCTTGGCTTTGTCCCCAGCTGCCATGGCCGTGAAGCCTTACCTCAGCGAGGACGCTCGGACGAAGTGGGGAGCTGACGGAACCAACTTGGATCATTGGAACCAGTTGTTTTTTTTGTGGTTTGTTGGGATATGTATACATGTAACATTATATGTATGTATATATATATAGATATAGATAGTTAAATAGATATTGCAGACAGTTTATAGATATTACATGATAGTTACAAAATGTGAGTGATGTGTTTCTGACATTCGCCGAGTTCGTGAAGAGGTCCATTCGGTCTCATTGGATATTTCGATCGCCGTCCTGCGGAGCTCGGGCGAGGCCATCCAGTGGAACCCACATGCCCATGACAAGCAAGCATCAATGTGACACCCATCTTCCAGGCCATGGTGCCGCCTCTTCAACGACTCTTGTGTGCGACGGACTTGCTGGTGAAGGCGACGTTGAAGATGTCAAATTTATGGAGTAGATGAGCTGTGGCCGTTGTTATTGAGATCGACATGGCAAATCATTCATGTCGTAGGGAAACCCGAATTCTCATGCCATGCCTCAGATGGAGAAGTTTCAACCGGAGTTTTAAGTTTTGCTGACCGATTTGTCCCTCCAAATGAGAGTTGCTTTTCAGAACGTTGCTGAACTGACATTGGCCAACAGCTTTCCGGCCCAACCGGGCTTCCCATGACATCTCATGATGACGTCTCCCAGCCAAGATATCAGAAGGTGAGTTTCCTCAATCACATTCCCTGCCACATCAAAGCTCGAAATGGTGGCCCCACCATGTCTTTGATCCCAAGATATCCCAAGGGTTTCATCTCCCCCTCACGATCTCTCGGATTTGAACAGCATCGCCCTGCATTCCGAAATATAGCGCATCTCCGAGAGGCCCCCCAAAAATGCCGCAGGAAGACACCACCATGTCCGAGATATTGAGACTCCTTGGGCTGCAGCTGAGAGTAGGTGCCACTCCTCCGCCCACACGACTGGCTGAGCGTGACGCGTGTCCCAGACGGTGTGTCTGACAGCGTCGGTCCATCCGAAAAGATCACTGATGGAACTGGCCGGTGACCGGTGTAAATTTCCACGAGTCAGCTAGTTGGAAATGGATCCCCCAAGTCATAGCAGTTGATGTTTCCTTAGCAGCATGCATTTGCAAGGTTTAATCTAATGAGCCGAGTTACTGCTATGAGGTCACTTGTCATCGTCTGAAAACAGAGATCCAGCACTGCAACGGAAACAATATCCAATACAAGCCACGTTCACAATGAATGTTATGGGAAGAACATGGAAGAATAATCATTTTGTCCAATCCCTACACCAACCTCCTTTGAAACCTGGTGAGAAACTCCTCACACGCATTCCGTTCCGTTGGGCTCCGTTGGCCGGTGTCCGGCCCATGGGGACGCCGGTGTACGTCACCAGGTGCGTGGCCTTTCTGGCCTGCGTCGACGCCCGATGGCTCGTTCCAAGATCGGAGGAGACGAGCACTGGAGGAGACGAGTTCGAAGAGTTGTTGAGACGCCAAACGAGGTAGGAAGGTCTCAACCGGGGGGCCGGAACCTTTATGCACATTTTCTGATTTTGGCAGTATGAAATACTTGAAAGGACTCTATAGGAACCAATCCGATGTAAAGACTGATCGTCATGATCGTCGATCTTGGGATGAAGAATCAGCAACGAAGATTCGCTTACGGCTCGGCTCAAACTTCTGGACACACAGCGAAGCCCCAGCCGACGGGGAGAAGCTTGATCTCGCTTGGAGAGCTGAAGCTGATTTGTATTGACAGGTGCATACGAATGACATCTCCAAAACTTTAGAGTCCGCAGCGTCATCAGGTGCATGTTGCCTCTATAAATAGTATGAATCTTGTAGTCTTGTAGCACAACTGGAAATGTAGCAGTGGTTTCCAGTCGTCATGATTTGGCAAAGGTGGACTCTGTAAGGTCACTAAAGGTCACTATAAGTCACTGGAACCTCGGGCAACCTTCTGGCACGGCAGGAACAGCCTGGCTTTGTCTACAGCGGGCAGGCTCTTCCTGCCGATGCAGATCTTTGGTCAAAGGATGAGCTGCAAAGGCATGGACTGGGAGATTGTTTGGGCTGTTTACTGGCTGTGTTTTCGCCTGAAGAAAGCAAGTGACCCCTCCTAAGGCCCTCCTGGTAAAATTATGTAAAATGGTAGATGTGGATTTACAGTTTACATGTGTTTGTATGATGATATTGTCATATTGTTTGGCTGTTGGTTGTCCACATCTTCCAGAGTTGCTTTGCAATCTAGAATGCCCTGTGCCGTACCACATCCTGCCACATCAATGGTATTAGTTTGATCTAGTTTGACCCTCCCTCAGCTTGAAATGTGATCAGAAACTTCCTCCTATAATATCTATACATATTTACTGTATATACAGTAGTTACTGTATATAACTTGCTAGTAAGTTTCACTATAAAGGCCAGCAAAAAAACCTCACACTCCTCCTTGCAGCTTCATCGCAACGGGTGGCTTCATCCAGCCGCGGCGGCGAAGACTGCGGTTACCACGTGACGCGGTGCCAAGGAGACGCGGTGGATTGCGGATTGACATGAGGGTGACTGGAGTGGGCAGAGTCAGGTGCTTTTGGAGAAACTGAGTGGAGATGTCCAGTTCGTTGGGGCTGCTAGGATGGTGCTTTCTGTGAGTCTTTGACCAGTTTCCTCCCAAATTCATCACAATTTTTGTGGTCGTCCGGAGATCTCCAGAGATGTGCTTGGTCGATTTGATCATTCTCCTTCTTCTTCTTCTTTTTCTTCTTTCAGTTCGCACATGCAGGACCGCTGCTCCGCAACTGCGAGAGTGGTTGGAAATACCTCTAGACCAAGGCTTTCCGTGGCTTTCCTAAGATCCGCACATGCAAAGCACTGTGGTCACTGCAGAATCAAAGTTGATAGGAGAAGCTGAACCTGCCACGGAGCGGATTATAGTGGATTGGCTCACTCTGTTTTGAGCTAATTACACGTGTCGATTGCTCCCAGCCAATCTCGGTGCAGGTGACCTCTCAATTCCAAGTGAGGATGCGCCCAAAGTGATCTGGATGTACTGGGTGCCAGCCTCAGTGCTCCAAACTCGAGTTCCGGAAAGGATCCTCTGAGGCTCGGGCAGAGTTCTCGTACTCTACAAGCGACAACCCTGCGTTCAAAGGATGTAGAAAAGCGTGTGTATAACTTTCCCACGAACGTGACATGTACTCACAGAGATGGTCGTGTCCGACGTATTTATTGACCAAATTCTGGGATGACCTTGCGTGGGGTGGGGATGACAAGACTGCCAGCCTGAAGGAGCATTAGAACTGATTACTAGGGTGTTAGTGTTTAATAAGTTGTTTAATGTGATGATGTCTCTACTTGTCATGCGCTGGTTGCTCAAGCAACTCAAAGCGAATCAAACAATTTGGCCTTCTCGAAACTAACTACGTCGAAGCATGTATGTACAGTATATATATATATATAGACATAGAGATCAAAGACACAAGTATTCTGCAGAGTCATTTGGGGCGATGGCCCATCTCTCCAATGTCCTGCCTCACGCACCGTTGAGGCGCAGGGCTCCAAGCAACTGAATGGCTTCAGGCCCAAAGCCACATTTTGGCTTTCCGTGTTTCTTTGGGGCTCGGACCCGGAAGCACAGAAGTGATTTGTTCGGCTGGATTCAGCAGGGTGCAGTTGTCAGGGTGGCATGGTTGGCCGCAGATGGCTGTCAGGAGGTTTTAGAATTTGGAGGAGCTCGCCTACTCTTGCCACCCCCACAGTGCAAACAGGATGCGACAGGTTCTTTGGGGTGTTGATCCATCCCAATATAGGAGAGGGAAGGCTAGACATTTTGGACTTCGAAGCATCAATGATAAGTTCATATCCCAAATACATGCATCAAATGAGGGTGATAGAGATTGATAAAAACGAAGACAGAACAAAAGAATGAAAGACAGGTCGTGTGTCCTAGTGGATTTGCTTTCATGCAGGTGCACAGTGCACAGCAGGTTTCCTTCGACTCATGCGCCGTGAGTTCCAGCTCGTACGGTTGGCCATGGGGGGTTGTGGATGGAAATGGGTCCCAAAAGACAGTATAAGTTATGCTATTATTGCTCATTGCATCCATGATGGCCTTCTTGTTTTTTGTTCAAGTTCAAACGCTATTAAGCTTGGTTTGCATGCTGCCTGGCAGGCGTCTTTGCGTGCACACATGGCAAGTGCAGAATCCTGATTGGAAGGCGTGAGAAGTTGACCGAAGGTTGTCCGAACTTGATCGGTCCATTTGTACACGTTCTTCTTGTTTCTGTTCGGACCTCATGGCTCGTTCATTGTGCCCCAGCAAGCTCATGCTTTGATTCAATAAACCTGTGTTTGATAGATTTCACGTGCCACCTTCCCAAGACCCGCACTCAAAATTTTGGGGCACCAGCAAGTGGGAGAAGCAATACCCCCAGGCACACAGAAGCCGAAGTCCTTGGTCTCTCAAGAGAAATTACACCAATCCAGATCAAGATCCTCGAGAAAGAGACAGTGGCCCGCTTCATTGAGCCCTCAGAACTGCCGAGATGCTATGAGGAGTTGGGCAGAACGAGACCGGAACGGGACGCAGCAGGTGTGGACTTGGTCCACCATCGCCTCCATTGATAGTTAATGATGTAATTCTCTTGCGGATGGTGGAATGAGCAAAGTATTCTCTCGCTTCCGTTCGCGCTTCTCAAGTATACTATACTACACGGATCCATACAGTTAAATGAGATCGTTTGATGAAAGTGGAAGGTCGTGACAAACTCCATAATGGGCTCTCAGGGTCCACTTGTATCCACTTGTGGTGTTAAGCAGTGGACCCCAGACTTGGACCTGGCTTGAGTCTTCCACTGGCATGCCACGCCGCAAACTAGCCTTTGAATCTATATGTCACCATGAATATAATATATATATATATGTCACTATGTTTGTTCAGCTAATTCAACTGCTTCATGCTAAGTTCACATTGGCACCATTGAATTGATTTGAATTGATCATCTTAGTGCGGTGTGTCCGCGTTACGCGATCACATACGATCACCAAACCCTTTGAAAGACTTGGCCGTTGTGGACATCAGCGACCTCAAAGGAGTGAAGTTATTTTTGAGCCACAACCAGCTGCTGGCAGGAGTTGCCTGCGGCGCAACAGTCCGACGCTCTACGTTTGGCCTTGTTGGCCAAGTACGGAGGTGTCCGTCCTCCCAGATGTGGGTATCTGCGGAGTCTGACTCAGGGCAGTGATAGATGTTTACTTATTGTTCACTTCTGAGGTACAAAGAAACCACCTCCCAGTGCATTAGGCGTCAAGACTTTGGAACCACCGTTCACCCACAAAAATGTTTTGGTGGATCTAGTTAGTGAGTGTACATTCCGCTGCCTTTGCGTGATGTGTGTGTTGTTTGTCCGTGTTCTTGTTTTATGGTGAGCTTAGTTGGTTGATCTACTGTATTATATATTTATATGTATGTCTACTCTTACTTTGCATCTTCAGACTCTTTCAGAGTGATCAGGTGGTGATCCGTTTCAATTGCATCGAGATAGGATCTTGCCAATCGACATTTGATTCGCAACTATATACTCGCATTCACTGAACGCCACATGGTGTGATTCGAGGTCTATACTGATGTGGCCACCATTTGTCTTCGCCCACTAGAGGACGCTTTTGGGAATACGCTGCAAAAAGAAATCTGATGGCTGGGGCTCAGTTACCGGCTCGTGTTCCACGTACAAGAGATAGTTGAGGAGTTCGAACTGGAGGTGGAGAAGTGACATCAACTATTTTAGCGGGATTTTCATTAGCAAGTGTTTCAGGTAAGCAAGAGCTTTGAGGTGTTATTTGGCACGACACCTTCCAATCCGGAGGACTGGCTTTGGGGCAGCATGTCAGATGGTACGCTGGAGCAGGGACTAGGTGCGACAGAGATCAAACTCACGCAGGCTGCCAGTGAGCTACTTCTGTGTACCTAGAACCCATTTGACCACTTTTTGAATAGGAAAAGACAATATGTTGGGTATTGTTGGGTGGTTGCTGACCACTTTTGGAATAGGAAAAGACAATAATTATGTTGGGTATTGTTGGGTGGTTGCTGATCTAAATACACTCACTCAGGTTCTAGGTATATGATACTATGACTGATATATATATATATATTTATAGATGTATTAAAGATGTCAAAAGGGACTGTGTTCCCGTGTTTGCCTTGTGTGGGTCAAGGACGACCACAGCAGGTTGTTAGAAGTTAGCAGTCCATGGCAAGTCTCTAACACTGAAGTTTCAAAGATGTACAGTAAATTGGAAAGTTTTGTTCAGGTGGTATCATGTGTATAATGATATATGTGTATTACATGTATATATATATATATTATTTCAAACCAAAGGATCTCATGTCGGATTGCCTTTGACCCACCGTGTTTTGCATCCAAAACGCGACCTGGAGGTGCTTGGTATTTGGCCTGTTTTGGCATGGAACCAGGTGTGAGCAAGGAGTATGTGGTGTGCTGAGCAAACAGTTGAGTCTCGGCATGTCGACAGCCAAACATGTCGACCGTTTGTTGCTGTTTGAGGTGGAGAATTGGTTTCTGGCAGCCAGAGCGAATCATCCTTTGGTTCTTGCTTGGAGGGACCTCTACAATACTGGCTGGGAAGGTGTCAGGAGAGGGAGCTTTGTGATTCGGGTTCGATGGTTTTTGAGAGTCCCGAGTGAAAGAGATGTGCGATGAGAATCTTCTGTAATGCATAAGTGTTTTTCCTGTTTTGCCAAAGTCAGCTGTCAGACTGCACCATACCTTGTGCAGACCGCATTACCAGCACATGGACCAGCACCTGGGTCCTTAAGAAGTTCTTCGGAGAGAAGCCTGCCAGAACCACCCACTGCTTACTGCTTCTGGCGATGTGTGACTCTGTGACTCCGGGCGATTCCAATCGCTCGAAGGAATATTGATGTACACTCCCTCATGGCCATGGGAACATGGCTTTCTAGAAAGCCTGTCCAGTATGAGAACACACATGTTTTGCGATGAGAAAACCACTCCGTTGCAGGACTCGACATGACTATCCACTTCAGCCCCTTTTTCGAGCTTTGGAGTTGCTTCAGTCAGCTTTTTTTGCGGCGCCATGTACTTGAGTGACGAGGGGTGAACACTGCCATGCCTGGACCAACTAAAAAGCCAAGGTCAAGTCGACATAAGTTTTGAGTGTCTCATTGCAGGATGACACTATATTCACATTGCTTCTCGACATTGGGGGTTGATTGTTTCAAAGCTCATCCAAGCTCTCACATTCACTCAAGGAGATGTGGACTTGTCGCACATTAGCATCGCAGAGCATCGTGACTGGCTCTTGATGCATGTGTGCTTCAAAAAGCTCATCGATGAGGATGCTGGATTGAGGAACGGTGGCCCTGCACGGACATGTCGGGGCCGGGGCTTGGCGAAAGAACCCAAGAAGGACCAGCTAACAGACAGAAAGACTCACTGAAAGCCGGACAGCCGAAAAGAGTGCCCTCAATCGAGACAGCTTGTTGAAAGAGAGATGTCCTATCTAGATCTTAAAGAAAATGGATGTCCTATCTTGCTACCTGGCTTCAATGAATCGTAGACAAGTGGCACTCCTCCGAGCCCAAGCCCCTAGTAGCTTCTTGTTCCTAGTAGTAAGGCCACGAGCCCCTAGTAGGTTGGAGCATCCAGCTGAGTGATGTGTGTGTGTGTATGTGTGTGCGCGTGTGTCTTTGCTCTTGTTTGATCAGGCGGATTTGGGCTGAAGAGATGACACTCTTGAAGGCAATGTGGGGAGCGCGTAGGTACTCTCAACATCTTACAACTAAACAAAAGAGAATTAGCATGTCGCCACATGTTTGTTTCAGCGTGTCTCAAAACAGGGCATTTGCCTCCTTGATGAGTTTTAATCTAATCTACTCAATTGTGAATGCTGAGACAAAGGCAGTCATTGCCGTTTGTCGTGTTGAACAATGACCAACCACCTCAGCAAATTTTATGATTCTCCTGAGCAAGGTGGAGGGTTTGTTCAGCCTTCATGTTTCATGATTCTTGTAGTCTTGTCTAATTATCCCTTTCAATAATTCCAGCAGCTTGCTTTCAATCCAGCTGGATGAGGCAGATGAGGGTGCGCTAGCATGGATGGCAGATGTGGACGCTGACCGACCCGAGGAAGGGCTTCGGGAGACTGAAACTGTCCTGAGACGGACACTGTCCTGAGGGTTTGTGTTTTTCTTCAATTTCTTCGCGTCGAGACCAACACGAGATCAACACAATCCCTACGTTTGGCAAAGAGAGTTGGAATGTGAATCCTATAGTGGCCAGTGACGACCATGAGCCATATATATATATATATTGTTGGTGGTCTCAGCTCAAGTTTGGCGAGACAGACCGGACACCAAGGAAGCAAGTCTCCGTTGGCCAAGCCTAGCCTTCCACCTGTGGGATCGTGCGGGGGTGTTGGACCTGCAGAGACGCGGCTTTGCTTGTGATCCCCGCCCTTGGCTGCAGCACTCTCAAGTAGACCTGCTCAAAGTCTCAAAGCAGCCGTTACGGCGAACAGACCATGATGGGTGATGTGCTCATCCAAGGAACAATCCAAATCACCAAATGAATATATAACAGCATTAACAGCGGGCTCCATGCGTTGCCTGGCTGCCTGGCAAGGCTGCTAAGGGAAAGCCACGAACTCCATTGGGACCGACGGGTCTACGATTCCTGCACCAGGGCACTGGTCGATGGGCCCCCTTGTTCCACATTGAAAGCAGTACATCCGCTCTTAAAGGGTATTCCCTGGAGTTCATTTAGTATGTATACTCTACTACTAGCAGCTACTGCTAGTTTTGGTTCACCATTGGTTCACCCCAACAATCCGCAGGACGCAGTGCGTCTATGGCTCGGCCAAGACGTAGCTTGGACTTCTCGGCAATTGGAGCTGGCGCCGATGCTGAAGTTTGTTGGGGATGCAGCCCAGGTGGAAGCGAGCTTGATGGAAGCTCCAGAGACTGAAATGATGTGGGGCTCATTGTGGGTTTGAAACCAACTGACTGCAAGTCCAATTTCTTGGAGGAGAATACAAACACAATTAGAGAACTTGATTTTGTTCCTGCTGTTCTCGGACCTTCGTGTCCACCGTACGCAAACGGGCCGACTGCCAGAGCAGTATGAGGAATAACAGTACGAAGATCTAAACTCAAGTGCCAAGCAAGCTAGTGTTCCTTTTGTTTTGACAACAGTTCCAGTGGATCCCAACGACATGGACAGTGATACACGTGTATATATACATATATATATATATTATGTATAGACTAATTAGACGAAGAGAAATTGTTTCATAGCCCGGCTACAGGACACGACTTGCACCGGTTTCCATGTCCACTCTTGGAGGGCACGAAGTCCGGTCGCAGGCGTTGCAGTGGCAGCCAGATGAGCATCTTGTTGATCGAGAGAATTGCTTGACACAGGCAAGTGGAAGACTTGTGGGGTGACTTTGGATCAGAAAGGGTGAGATGTGCGCATCAACTTGGCAGAACCTCGGCACCACCACTTGTTCCAATGAACTGGGTTGAGCCTGAAAGCTTGGATTTGCTGGTGGATGTCTAGCATTCTTCTGTTCATCCTGTGTTTGTTGTGTATCTAGCTGAGCCTTGGAGCCGAAAGCCGAAAGCGGTGCCGTGCGCTTCCGCACCGCGCCCTGAGAGGTGCTTGCAAGGGCCTTGCCCAGACATCCGAGCGACGGAGAAAGAGGTGCGTTTCAATGAAGCTTTGACATGAGACAAGAAGGGACTGGTTCCCTATCGATTCGAAAACCCCCAGAACCCCAAACGAACACGGAAAGAAACCCAGAAAATTAGGAGTTGGTGACACATTGAGTGCTCACCAAACCCGAGAATGCGGCCGGTCTTTTCACAATCAGAGAATATGTGGACACAAACCAGCTCTGTGCTTTCAGAAGACCATGTGGGCCTCCATTCTTTGCGGAACTTGCCATGTGGGCTTCCACTTTTCGGAACTCATGATCTTCTTGAACATTGTTACTAATAGTAAGGCCAGGAGCCCCGTTCGTAGCGTCCTTGCTCCGTTCGTAGTGATGCCCCTTGTTCCGTTCGTTTTTGTCCGATCGCTCCACATCCCGACCTGTGGCTCAAGACTCCGTCTGGAGCCGTAGCTTTGTCAAACCTTTCCTTAAAAAAGACAGGGGATCCTCCGTCGAGTGACGGTCCCCGTGGTGACTCGGGGCGGTGTGAAAACGACGCTCCTCGGCTCCGAGATCGGAGCTTCGCTGGGGACATGCAATGGACAGCTCCGTGTGGTGGCTTTGGTATCTCCTTCTATGGAAAGTGGCTATTCCAGCGATGCGCGTGCTTCAAGAGGAGCCCTTTCCAAACACCTGTGGCTTTTCTGAAGGGGTTACACAACCTTGGGGACTTTCTTGGGTGCACTCTCCTGCGCACGACGCTGTCCCTCTCACAATGATTCACAATGCCTTTTCACTCACCTTGCCTTTTGTTTCACTCACAATGGCCCAAAACATGTCGATCCAAGAGAAACAGCAGGAGTAAACATGCGGACATTGGCAACTCCTCATGTGGACATATACCTGTGGTCCAATTGAGGTAGTTCTTCGGTTGGGGGGGGCGCTCGGCCAGCTTTTCTTCGAAGCAGTGCAATCCCATGTGATTTGAACTGATGTCCTGCAACATTTGGAGTACTATACCGTACCTCAGAGTTTCAAAGCCGATAGGTGCTTTGATTGAATGATATTGAATGTGATGGAGGTTTTTCTCGGATCTTTGTCACATGGGTTTGTCCTTAGGTGAGGGAGGACAATTGTCTTTGACAGGGAGATACAAGGCGCGGGCAGTTGGTGAAGTTTGCAACCTAAGCACCCCAAAGCGAAGCAACTTGTGCTGGTTTTTGTTCCTCCTTCTCCACCTGTGACCGTCCAAACGACACATGTCACGCGTGGGATTTCGCCCGATCCTGCGCACTTCGGACGGCAGGTGTCGTCTCAGATCACGATCACCGAGAAGTGCCGCGTGGTGGGCTCCCAAGCCACCGTGGTGCACCTTGGAGGAAAAGAATATAGAAGAATTCATAGCTTGCATACGTATTGGTTTGCCAGGGCCTTTAGGTTCATGCAAGTGTCCGCTATTTGACCTGAAAGACGTCGGCTAGCGGCTAGAGACTGGTTGGGATTGGTGGATGCAGCTGATTTTGAGATAGCCCCAGGGCCCCAAGTGCTTTGCATTTGGATGAACAACATTGGAAAGCACCGGCTCTATAGGTGAGAAGGACAGACCTGAATCACGGTCCACACAACCTTCTGATGGGAACATCTACTGTTCAGACTTGCTTTGTTAAAGAGATATATGCTGCGTGGCTGGTAAGTAACACAGAGCGCTATGGAGCCATGCCAACGATTCTGAACCGCCGCAAGACGATCCGCGCAAGCTTATTATGAATTGACAAAATGCATGGCAGGGGGTAAACAGATTAGTATTCTTCATTCTGGACTCAGGGATTCACATGGATTGAACCGGGGTGCTCACCGGATGCCCTGGACACATCTCTTTCCAACCTAGTAGTATCCCCACTATCCTTGATAGCTGTTTGGAAGCCAAGTTTGGTTCCCAAACATGTTCTAAAGCATCATGTGCCGTTTCCAGTGCTGTTTCGAGTGCTGTTTCGAGCCGATGTCTCGAAACGTCAGCGTGACGTCGTGTGACCAAAAAAAAGAAAAACGTTCCGCGCATTTGTCTTGTTCCGGTGTACACTCAAACATCATAAAATAGCCATGTCGCGTTCCCCACAGGGGAGTAGCTGTTAAGCTGGTATACGCCATGGGTGCTTTTTTTGTCCGAACAAAAGGAATATTCATCGCCTCGGTTCCGAACAGCTCCTCTCAGGGTCGAGGAAGAGATCCTCTTCAAAAAGGATGTTCGCTTCATCGGCTCCATCCGCTTTGTGGGCCAGGCATCAGTGGGCATTTTTGGGCTCACGACTTGGGCCAGGAAGAGATGCTGGCGGGCCAAACACAGCTTGAACCGTCAGGGTGAGTCACTGGTGGGAGCGATGAGGAAGCAATTACTGGGGCCTCCTGTTTAGTTCAAGAGTTAGGCAACAGAGACACGGATCGGGACGGCCGCTGGCTTCAGAACAAATCGACCGATGGTTGGGTGTTTCCTTTGCGCAACACGACAGGAGCACCGTGGGCCACAGGCCCGATGTCTCGAAGTGGAGGTGCGTCGGGGGGGGTGGAACAACGGGGGACATATTCCACAGATCCACTGCCTGGGGGGTAGATGGCCACACGTTCCACTGCAGAGTGCTTGAAACAGCTTTCCAGCTTTCACAAGTAGAATCTCAGTGTGCAACTATATATATTAATATTATATATTTATATGAGGTGTTTTGTGGCAATATGCGTTTTGCCACTGCTGTTGTTTAAACTTGTTTGCTTGTTTGCTTCACATTGGAATCATCCTTTCAATACAAGCTGGCTTTAAATTTGGATGATGCCAATGCGATAAGGACTATACTCGAAACAGTGGCTTTGTCCGCCAGGTGAGGTGATACCTATATAATCACAAGAAAGTTCACAAGAATAGGCACGGCGAGACAGTCACAACCTCCAATTCAAAGATATAGTTCAGGTAAGACTCTTGGCTCAATTCACCAGAGGTGGTTCTGTAGTTCCTGTGATGGCAAGTTCAAGTTCAGTTCGTTGTGCCAGGGTCGCCTAGCCTTTATGCTGGCCGCAGTGACCTTTGAAGGTTGTGGTGGGCCAGAGACTGAAGATGGAGGCCTGGCCTCATTGTTCCGTGGCCCTCCGACTCACTCACATATAAGTGGACAATGGCTTCTTGCAAGCCGATTCTATGTTGATCTGGAAGTTCTGTGCGGTAACATGTCGTTTTTGTGTGTTTGGAAGTATGTGGAAGGCATGCTTCTTTGTGGGCTTTTGCACCAATGTCTTGGCACAGCCATGCAGCACGACAAAAATTGAATTCTGCATGTCTTTGACTCACGGGCCTCAGCCAAAATAGACTTGCCCAGCTTAGGTCTATACTCCTCATACGATTCTTGGGGCCCAATCCGGCTGTGTTCTCCAGAGCTTCTCGCTGCACGCTTCGCGCACCCCACACCATTGCAGGAGGGATCTACGGTGGGAGCGATGTGACATCCTTCCGGAGTAACATCACTTTTGAGAGATGCCAAGCAATTGATGGAGGAGGCCTTTTCGTTGGACAGACTCTTGATGGAAGGAATGGGTGTGGCGGTTGAGGGCACTGGTGTTGATGAGGTATACTGTTTACTATTAATGCAGAATCATGCGCCAAATTCAGGTGATGTTTAAGGTACTGTATATCTATTGGGATGACCATTGGTGCCAGGTGTTGCAGAAGTTCATCAACCAACAGTATGACCATAAACGGACCCAGCTTCAGAGGGATCTCCCAGCGAACCCACAATCGATATCCATCTCCGTGGATTGGGCAAGTTGCTCGGAAGTAGATTTGAGAATTGATTTGAGTGGTTTGTTTCAATGGCCATTGGGTTAGCTGAAAAGTCTAAGTCTAAGGGGCATACCGGTCTATTAAGAGAGTCAATAAAGGATTGAAAGTTCAAGGTTCCATTGGAGACGCACCCATTCAGAGTGAACACAACACGGGGCTTTTCCCGCCGTCATGGCAGGTCTCCATGCCAAACGCCCACTTTGCAGGATATGGGATGCGGTTTCCAGAGCAATTGGAAAATATATCATTAATATATCCACCAGGAGACAATTTGCTCCTGGCGTTTCTCCTCCCAAATAGTGTCATTTTGGGTCAGGTCTCTTTTGGCGCGGTTTGGGATAGGTCATGTCAACAGTTCACCCACCTTCATGGATGTGGCCGTTGCCCACCGCAAGTCCTTATCTTCGGCGATGACAGCAGTATGCCAGCGATTCCAAATTCCAATGTTTTGGATCGTTGGACTTTGCTCGCCACCTATTGACCCTGCGTTCCGGGTACTTGGCGGAATCAGCCAGCCAGCCAGCTATCAAAGTATCCAGCGGAATCAGCCAGCCAGCCCGCAAAATCTCCGGCGGCTGGCGGAATCCGCCACCAAAAGTATCCCCCGAACTTCAGGGTCTATACCAAAACCTGCGTCCTTTTGTCGAGCAGTCACCTGCTGAGCGAACTCTGCATATGCAACTCACCAGAAATGACCAGGAGTGCTGCAAGTCTCTTTGGGCTTTGCTGGAAAGCATCGAGACGTGGTAGTCTTTTTGGATTTGGGGGTGCTCATCTTGACTTCATTCACTAATTTCACCATTGCAACTCAGCCGAGGCTGATGCACTTGGACCCAGGTTTGGGTAGCATAAAGCAGTTGACTTCCAAGCAGGCAACATGGGATGAACCCGATGTCACGTGAACCATATCCAAGGAACTTCAAGAGTTCTTCATCCACCTTTGAGTTCAAGTCTTGCGAGGCGCATTACTCTGGAGGACCGCTTTTTGTTTTTCGACATGTGGATTGATTGCTGATATCGAAGCATGTTCGCTTGACAAGAGAAGAGCCCCTTTCCAATCCTTGTACAGGCTGAAGCTGCGTCATCGGCAGGTTTGGTCGGCTCCCACTAGTTTGTCCGGCTTTGTCCGAGATGTAGAGTCGTAGAGCCTGTATCCGTGGATCATACCAGAATTGGGCCTTTGTGAACACATATATATATATATATATTATGTGTGTTTCGACAACAGATACATATATACGCATGCATAGACACATGTATGCATGTTTGTGATAGGACCTTCATGGTCTATTTCGCGACCAGCTTGAACCATGTGGCAGAGCACTCCTTTTCTCTAAACCTATAATCTAACCCCTTGCAATTGTAAAGTCAATCCTTGGCAATCAACAAACCTGGGGGTTCTTGTGCACCAAGGTTCAATTGATATGAGCTTTGTGGTCGCAATGTTACCAGTGCAAACATCAAACGACATCAGCTATTTAGTGATTTGATATGTAGCAGAATATAGGAGTACAAAAATAGAACGGTGTGCAAATGATTTGTGAACATTTAGTGCCCTAAACTACTTGAACACATATTATACTTTAAGTGTAAAAGAATGTAAAATATTTTCTATATTCTCATGTCATCAACACTTTTAAACATAAATATAGAATTTTTAAAACATGGGCAAAGGAAACTAATTATGTAGAAACATCCGGCAAGAGACCCCAAACAGTGCTGAATAGAAGAAGACAAGGGTTAACAAATCATTTCCGCACTCTAGAACGCGCATACGAGAACAAGGGCATGAACGAACACATATACGAAAGCACACTCATGAGAGCACATATATACAGTACCTATATTTGTATATATACGATATGCGCACACATGTGAGAGAACACAATATGTGAACAAACTCATGGGAGCACACAATTGAGAGGGAACACACAACACATAGAAGAACAAGTGTAAGACTGAGCACACATATGATAACACTCATAAAAGAGCACACCAATGAGAATGCATATATAAGAGCATACAACTGTGAGCAAACACATGAGAAAACCACGTGAGAGCACAGGTATGAGTGAGCGCTGATGTGAGAGCACACATATATGGTTGTCGATCTAAAGGTCCTAAACAGCATTGTGTATGACGATGACCCGGAACATATCAAAATCTCATTTGGCGAAAGTTTTTTCTCGAGTTGGCGAAAGTATTTTTTTTTGGCGAAAGATCTGGCGACAGATTAAATATGTACTTTTGTGTGAATGTTCATTTGCTTCCTGAACAGCTGGTGGCAGTGACTCAGAAGTTAGATGAGCTGTGGAAGTTAGATAACCTGCTGCTGCTGCGGCTACTACTACTACTACTACTACTACTACTACTACTACTACTACTACTACCTACTACTACTACTACTACTACTACTACTACTACTACTACTACTACTACTACTACTACCTACTACCTACTACCTACTACCTACTACTACTACTACTACTACTACTACTACCTACTACCTACTACCTACTACCTACTACCTACTACCTACTACTACTACTACTACTACCTCCTACTACTACTACTACTACTATTTCTATTTCTATGTCTACTACTACTACTACTATTTCTACTACTACTACTACTACTACTACTACTATTTCTATTTCTACTACTACTACTACTACTACTATTTCTATTTCTACTACTACTACTACTACTATTTCTATTTCTACTACTACTACTACTACTACTATTTCTACTACTACTACTACTACTACTATTCCTGCTCCTGCTTTGGGGGGGTGGCTTTCCCACAAAACTCTACCCCGCAAAAGGCGAAAATTTGGCGAAAGTTCAGCTCAAGATTGGCGAAAGTTCACCCTGCCACATCTGACCCCCAGCCCATTATGAGTAAGTTTGAGTGACCAGCTACTACAGTGATTCTTCCATTTTTGATTCTTGCTGACACCCAGGAGAAACAAAAGAGACGTACAGGGTGTCAACAGTCAAGTAGAAGACACATGCTGACAAACAGTGCAGTTTCTATTTGGTATTTGCCAGTAAAGAAGAAGCCATTGACGTGAACAAAACACAACAGACATGGCTCACATAAATACAACATACTTCGGCGAAAGATAAAACGCAGGCAGGCGAAAGTTTGGCTAACATATTTTTTTTGGCGAAAATGACGGATCCCGGATAAAGGAATTTGAATCAACTCCCATATGAGCAAACACATCGGACCAAGCACATAAGAACACACACACACGCAGGTGAGTGAGAGCACACGTATGAGAGCAGACATGAAAGAGCGTGAACACACCTGTGTGAGCACAGGAGAGGTATGAGAACCGCTATTTGAGAGCAAACACATGGGACCACACCTGTGAGAGCACGGGTATGCTGAGCAGACATATAGGAGAGCACACACTCGAGACAGTTGCATAAAGCGTTTGCATTTCTCTGCCCTGGTCCATGCGTGTCCTTTTGATATTTTTTGAAATGTTGTGTGTCTTAGGTTATTCTAGGGTGATGTTTTGTCCTGGTTTCTTGCGGATGTTGTTTTTGGTTCGTTCTGACGGGGAGGCTTTGCACCCTCCCTCCCAATACCCTCCAGCTCCACAAATCTGCGGTACTGCTTGACCGAACGTGGCGCCTGCCACAAAAGCTGACTCTTTAAACGGGTGAGCCCGCCGCATGTCCCCACACAAAATGTTTCCTGTCCTGCCCTTTTCAACGCCCTTTGTATTGCTGTTCCATTTGCCGGAGTTGTTTTTTTTCAATCTGTCCAATTCCGCATTAATGTAAAAAGAACATATGATTTCCTTCAATTTGTCAAGGCAGCGAAATCGCTGACGGGCGCTGTTTATATTTATCGTTTCTTACAACTATGTTTTCGGCTGCTGTATGTCCTTATTCGTTGGTGGATGTTGGTGTTTTTTTCTTGCCATTTCCTTCCGAGCCCATGCATGTATGCGTTTTTGCCTTTCATTTGTTGGTTTCTTTGGTTGTGTGCTTCCTTCGTAATGCCATTGAGGATCCTGTCCTAGGATTTGTTTGATGTTGATGTTATTTGCTGGTTTGGTTGATCTCATCCATTCACAACCTATCAGTGGCACCTCAGTGGCACAGCACGAACAAGATACTCATGAAGATACTCAAAGAACAGCGTTTGAGAATGCAGATGTTCACTACCGATGACGGTGAGGCAGGTGCCACATGAAGAGGGAGGGAGGGAGGAGGGAGGGAGGGAGGGGGAGAGAGAGAGAGAGAGAGGGTGCCACAATGTGCTTCCCTAAACCATCAGTTCAGGAAGGTCCAGGCACCGAGAGGCCCGTCTCGAGTGATACATAGCATACGAGCCTGTGAAAGGAAGCAAATGTTTGGTTGAAACAGAATTCTCAGGTTCACCGAGGCTGAGTCCCAGTTGTTTGGTGGTTTGTTTTAAAGATTTTGCCCAGGAGGCATGCTTGTGAAGGGCAACGTGACCCTGGCCTCATGGGCAATTGCTCGATTCGAGTCTTGCAGGGTGACGCGGCTGAGAAATCTGAGATGATCCAAAGAAGCATCCCAACGTAAAGTTTTAAAGGCCCACCGCAAAGTGTGTGCTTCCGCAATCTGCACCCACCCAAACCAAGAATCAACATAGGTCCATATCAACAATTTGGGGGGGAAGCATGACTCACTCCCTCCCCTTCTTGTGTGTGAGTGTGAGGTGCCTGTGTTCTCTCGGATAGAGACCACCAACTATTTCTTCAGATTTGGACTCTTCTTGCTTGGTAACATAGATAGTCGCCCAGTACTTGGAAGATTACTGATGACTCCACGGGGGGGTGGAAGCAGTCTTGGCCCTTTTCATCCCTTTGCTCTGGGTTTGATACCCTTGCGATTGAGTTTCGGTCTCCGACATGTTGTTATTGAGCAAGTGCTCGGCGCGGGAGGGTAATTTGTTTGCATGATTTGTTTGTTTTGGTTCGGGATCTCTTTTGTTTCTCCTGGTCGGTACTCAAGGGAAGGAAAGAAGGAAGGAAGGAAGCTTGGAGGGAAAGGCAAGGATAGCAGTTTGAGAGGAAGAACGAAACATAAAGCAAAGAAGGTTACAATGCATTATGCATTCCCTCAGTTATTACCTGATTGCTGGGTCTGGTCCCGAGAGAACTGAGTGTTTGGTAAAGTGGCTCCTTCTTTCAGGCATGTGACAATTGTTAGTTCGAAGGTGCCATTCCAATTGTCAATTCCTTTTGTGAGACACTCGACACTCAACGGTAAATTTAAGAAAGGATCGATGGAAACTTGGAAGACCTTTTGTGAGCAGCCTCAGGGTAAAATTTAGAGAAGAAAGAAGCCAACGTAACATACCTTTTGTGACCAACCCAACGGTAAATTTTAGAGGAGGAAGGAACCAATCCAATATAGCGTACCTTTTGTGAGCCACCCGATGGTAAAGTTTACAGAAGGAAGAGGCCACTCCAACGTAGCATAACGTTGCATACTTGTTGTGATCAACCCGAGGGCTTTAGTTTGAGGAGGAAGCAACCTTTTTGCAACATAGCATACCTTTTGTCAGCTGCCCGAGGTTAAAATTTAGAGGTTGAAACGTAGGATACCTCTTGTGAGCTGCACGAGGGTAGATTTTACAGCAGCAGGAAGAAGCCATGAGAATAGTTTTTGGGAGCCGCTAGGGTATAGTCTAAAGAAGAATGTCACATACGCTTTGTGACCAGCCCAATGGTATATTTTTTGTGGAGGAAGGAACCAATCCAGTATAACACACCTTTTGTGAGCCACCCGAGGTTAAAATCTAGGAGGAAAAACAATGGAAAACAGAGCATACCTTTTGTGAGCCACCCGATGGTAAAATTTACAGAAGGAACGGGCCATTCTAACGTAGCGTACATTTTGTGATCAACCTGAGGGTAGAATTTAGACGAAGGAACCCGTCCATAGTACAGTTGTTGTGAGCCGACGGGTAGAATCTAGAGCGGGAATAAGCCATGAACAGACCTTTTGAGCCACCCGATGGTTAATTTTAGAGACGGAAGGGGGCCATTCCAAACGTAGCATAACGTATGCGTCATACTTTTTGTCAACCCGAGGGCAACATATTGAGGAGGAAGGAACCTAGCAAACCTTTTGTGAGCCACCCAAATTTAAAGATCAGAGGTTGAAACGCTGGATATTTTATTGTGAGTTGCACGAGGGCAGAATAGGAGGAAGGAACCATAGAAACAAAACATACCTTTTGTGAGCCCTTGAGGACAGTCTTTCTTCGGGATTCACAAATGCAGCGCCTGCCACCAGCAAAAAAAGCAGTTATATTAAATGAACACAATACGTTGAATATCAACACTTAACACAAAACGACAATACGTTAAATATTGAATATTTTGATATATATATATATATATATGTTGGTTACTTTACTTTTGCAATATATCACACTGTTTTGCAGATAGATGAGCCATGTAGGCATACAACCAGCGAACCCCCACAATGGTGGGATGTTAAGGGCCACCAGGTGTTTGCCATCTGACCGCCACCAGGTTTTTCCAAAACATGTAGGCATAGGACCTGCAAATCCGCACAACGGTGGATGTTAAGGGCCGGCAGGTTTTTGCAATTTGACATAAGACCTGGATGCTAAGATCAGCGCTCCGAGGTTGACAAAGTGTTGCGCCTGCCACAAAATCTGCATTTTCCAGCCATCCCAGCACCTAAAACAAAAACATCCGCAAATAAGACACCTAAAAGTAAATAAATCTGGGGCCCTCGGAAAACACCCGGGAACGCATACACAGTGCGCAGTCCAGCCAAAGGCCCACCAGGAAACACGGAACAACATACTTGAATGTTGATAACGACCGCCCAAAATCACAAATTTTAGGATTGGTTCCTAGGAACTGTGTAGCGGATTCAGGGCGATTATCCATTTTAGGCTTTCAATCCGTGAATTGCAGCGGATTGTGTACCACAGACCTTTGCGAAGGGTGTTTTGGCATTCTCGCGCCTTTTTGAGGCGACTGACACCTCGGGGCATGGCCTTGGGGGTGGTGGGCTTGCGGTGTCCGGTGACAAATTCACCGCAAGCAGGGTCCTCAGGGGGTGGATGATGGAAGTTATTCGTTTGTTCAAGAGAGCTCCTAGTAGCGTCCTTGCTCCTAGTAGTAAGGCCAGGAGCCCCTAGTAGCTTCTTGCTGAATGTCAAAAACCGAAAGGCTGAACTTCAAAATGTGCAGAGTCGGCTCCGGATGATCTGGTTCTTTTGCGTGTGGATATGATACACTTCATGTGGTTTTAGCTCAGCACTTGTGGGCTTTGCCCCCCAAACCATAGGTGTTGTTTATCTCTCACCTCACTTGGAAAAGGAGACCACACCTACATGAGTTCATGTTACATGAGTTCAACTCGAAGCATCGGATGGCCGGGTCCACGGTGCCGGTGTTCTCACCGGGTCAGGATGTAGAAACATGGAGTGGTGGCATGAGCTACATCACCTACTCAGATCAGATGGAGCATGATGGAGCTATGTATACCGGGATTGTCCTGTCGCCGTGCCAGGTGGCAACATATCCTTCCACAACTGTAGCGCTTTTGCCGGTGGAGGCCGATCCTTTCCGCTTCAGATCGCTTCAGGACTTCTATAGATACTTCAGTATCTCCTAATCGTCCAACATAATAGCAATGGCCTCCAACATAATGGAGATGGCCTCCAACCTACTAACGATGGCCTCCAACCTACTTGTGATGGCCTATTCAAGAGACAGAAACAACATTCGTTGGAAGTAGACAGACATCTCACCCAGTTTGTAACAATTTTGTTGATTGCGTGGTGGTTGGAAAGCAAAGGGATGATCGGCTGTAGATCAGCATAGCGTGCGAATGCCCATCACAGATCGCCGGGCTACCTAATAAGTTACATCAGTGAAATCTATAATCATCTATAATATAGGAAAAACGAATCACAAATCACAGTGGTCACGAAGCACTTCATCGCCGCACTATTCTTCATCGCCGCACTATTGCGGATCACGTTTACGAATCGGCGCCAAAATCACGATCACCACAGATTGTCAGAGTCATCAGGGATTGGCGAACACCGCAAGAATCTGACCATGGACCACGGAAAAACGATACACCAGAGGAAAACCACGAGTGCTTCATGTGATATATAAACAGAGCCAAGATGACCTCCACGTCCACCATAATCACCATGGATCACCCCTACCCCTCACCAGAACCGACGACCCACTGGTCGTTTGCAGGGTTGGTGCACCATTTTTTCGGACGGTCTGTTCCGTGTCAAACGAAACTCCTTCGTCCATTGGACGGGTGTATGTTGGTTTGTCCAAGGGAACAAACGTGGCACTGCAACATACCCAAACGGTGCGACAGAAATACATGAATGACACTGCAACGTACCACTGTTGCTTGTGTTTTGCTGCCATATTGTCGGCATTTTCCAAGTGCAAAGATGCAGAAGCCTGTTGTGCTTTTTGTTGGACATTTGCTTGCCTAGTTTGCATCTACATGTGTGATGACATTGAATGATACCCTTGATGTTGTTTGTCACCCGTATTGTTGGACTTACTCTTACTACAAACCTGTAGTGTGCAGTTACATTGTAGATAGATACCTGAGTAGGGAGTAGGTCCGGTGTTTGTGTTTTTTGATCCTGTTGCAGGCTTGGCACTTGGTGAGTGAGTTTGCTAGCTGATTTTTGGTCGGGTGTATGTCAGTCATATCTGATGGGTTGTAGAACTCTGCTGGTGGCCACATGGGTTGTAGATCACACTGTGCTGCGGTTGCTGCTGTTGCGTGTAGAAAGGCTGAAATGTCACCTGTTCTCGCCTGTTCTGCCGACCCAGTTGAAGGTCGGTGCCAGAGCAAGGAGGCAGCACACAAAGTGTGTGGTGTCGAGGCTGAGATGTCCAAGTTGTTGATGGTGTTTGTAAAGCCTTTGTCCACTATTCTTGCTCTCACCTTGTCTTTTGGTCGAAGAACCCATTGGTTTTCCAAGTGGTCTCTTCTCGTCCAATCCTTCCGTGTTGTGGACAATTATTTTCAACAATGTGTTGTTGTGTGTTTCTCCTGTTCGCTTCGTTAGATGCTGTGGTCATTGCTTCTCCTATCCTTGTCCTGACTGTCACTGCCGAGATTCTTTGTCCTGTCGCCGTGGTTCTTGCATGGGTCACTCAGACATTGCTTTTGGTGCAGTTGTTGTTCACGTTTGCTTGGGAGGCCATCGCTATTGGATTGGAGGCCATTGCTACTAGGGTGGAGGCCATTGCTAGTAGGTGGAGGCCGTTGCTATTAGGGGAAGGCCATCGCCATTAGGTTGGAGGCCATCGCTAGTAGGGTGGAGGCCATCGCTAATGTTGGATGCTGATTAGTAATAGGGCCCTCTATAATGCTAAATTGTTGAAACAAAATTCTTGACACCATGTTTGTTTTAAGGGTTCTCTGAGGGAACCTAGTGGTTTATTATCTGAAAAATGAGAGTTTCAAATCCTGCGATGATCTGTGAATACTACTAAGCCAAAAGCTGGCTTGCTGAGAGTAATATTGGTAATCATAGGTTTCTTTACTTCTTCAAATCGCACAGCTTCCCAAAGCCATTAATTCATTAATCAATCCTTTATATAAAGATTGCTCCTAAACAAATTTTCGAGGTAGTAGTCCTCAAGATTTGCTGAAGATCTGAGGCTGCAGAGGAAAAGGATGGCTGAGAATATCTATATAATTACAAAGAACCTGAAAAAGCTAAATGAATCCTACAATCAATGACAAAAGGAATCCTCCCAGGATCCAGATGTGTTTTGGTGGTAGGTTATTATAGAGGCCCTCCCATTTGTTTAGAGGAGGGGGGGGCCGCTTTACTAATCAAGATCCAACATTACTAGGTTCCTTTTGCTATTACTCGTAGGTTGGAGGCGCTGTTGTTCGCGTTTGCCCTTTGTCATTTTCCTTCCATCAATGTCATTGGCCATTGTTTGCTTTGCCAGCGCAGCGATGCTGATGCTCTTGCCTGTGATGTTGGTGGCCGGTGGTGAGCCGATGTTGGCGAGGTGAATCGATGCAGCCAGTGGTGCTTTTGCTTTTGCTGATGCCTGTTTTCATGTCGCATAGGAGTGTTGTCCTTCTCCTCAATGCTTTTGATACAGGTGATGTCCACCTGTATCACTGGCTGCTTGCTTGTTTGCCTTGTGTGACTGTTTGCTTTGCCACTTGTTTTTACACATGATTCACAATAAGGTTCGGCCTGGAAGCTGTTTCAGTTCATGTTCAGTTGTTTCGGCTGCCGAATGCCTCGTTCTGTGTTTGCTGGTAATAGTTGCAGATCCTCATTGTATTTTACTCGAATGTTGCGCATTCCGTTCTTTTCTTCGAAGGTTGTTGTTCCTGTGCTTTGTTACATCCAGTATTTTGTAGAAATAATTGTCCAGTTGTCATCTTCTCGGAATCCTTAGTTCTTTGATGTTCTTCTTTTCTCTTCAAATCCCATTGTCCAAATGTATGCAGCATGCAAACCATGGCGGACAAACTGTGTTTGTCGTCCGTTGTGTGCCACTTGGCCCGGTGTGAGCCACCTGGCCCGGTGTTGGGCCATGTTGGGTGCCCCTTTGCCTCGTTGCGCCGTGACCAGGAGATCCACTCCGATGTGGTGATTCTGTGGTGTTGTGTTTGGTGCTGGCATGGCGTTCACTGTTTGTGCTATATTCTGTGCCAATGCCAGCAAGCAGTTGTGACTTGCCATCCGTCCTGGTTTCCTTCATTTTTACATCCAGTCTTTGCGTGGTACCCTTGGTCAAGACTGACACAGGAGTTGTACACCGCATACGTTTTACAACTCCCGTGTGGTCGACAGTGTACTGCTGGTCACATCTCGCACCACAGGGCTTGGAACATGCCATTCGGGAACAGCGCTGGATAATACGAGTTCCATCCTGAATATCTGGGAACAAAACACATCCGGACAGAACAGCACAAGCACAGAAACCATCCAAAGCAACATTCTGGGAACAGAAAGTTTGCAGCCTCGGCTCTGATTGCAACTGCAGATCACCGTCGCTGGACGCCAAGCATTTCCAGCCACTTCGCGTCATCACAGCTCCTGGCAACTCACCACTGATCATTTCCTCCCAAGGGTGTGTCAATACTCATTGCCCCATACTACTGTAGGTCAGCGTAGATTGCTAGAAATGAAATCACCAATGGCAACGTGAGAAAGCAAAGATCAAATTCCGTGTAACAAACAGTTGCATTTGGTGTGCTGGATGGTGAATGCCTAACAAAGAGAACAGTCTGGGTGGACAATGGTAGTAGTGGTTTTTGTGTTGATGGAAATGTGTTGTTTCCTTTGACCAAGGTCTGTCCATGCCAGCAGCAAATTCTGTCCTGGCAAACACGGGCGGCATCATAGCAGCGAAGGATTGCCGGGCACAGTTTCTTGACTGAGTTTGGTGATCTCAGCTTGAGGTCCCTGGGTTCACTGATGCAAACATATCTGCATAGTAGAGAAAGAGATTACAAGCAAACTTCAGCAAATCAATCCTTGACCGTTGTATTTGTTACTTGGTTGAGTTATGTTGCGTTGTAGTTGTTTGGGTCGTGGCTGGCGTAAGAGACTCGTGACTTATTGATTCAATTTCTCTGGACCCCCCTCCATTCCGTCGCTTGTTGAGTAAGCAACCACATGGGAAGCGCCCTGGGATGGTGGGGTGCAGGGATGATGATGTCGATGATGATGATGATGATGATGATGAAGAAGAAGAAAGGGCATCGCTACTTACTAGGAGCAAGGATGCTACAAGGGGCTCCTGGCCTTACTACTAGGAGCAAGGATGCTACTAGTAACTTGTTGATCCATTGTCAAACCTCGCAGCTGGCCCTCCTTTCAACAGAGGACGCGGACCCTTTTCGACATACACTCTGACACTTGTATTCAGTGAACTCAGTTACCACGTTGGGAAG